TCAGGTACCGTGGCTCAGGGATGGGAGCTCAAGCTTCATGTGAAGATAAATTGGGGGACCAAATGACCCCCAAGCTTAACCTAGGTCTTTGGTCCCTGTGGTTTTTCACTGACACTGAGGACACCAAAACCAAATCTGAGGACATCACACATGGGACGAGGACTGGAGATGAGGAAGGGCGTCCCAGTCTCTGGGGAGAGGTGGTAGGTGCAGTGACCTCTCTTCCCTTAGAGATTTTCAAGCTGGAAACTGATTAGTGTGGAGGGAAGCGGTTGGGCCAGGGCGAGGGGAAGAAGTCAGCCTGGCTGCTCCCACTTCCCTATACATCCTTATTCCAGTTTAACCTCTGACCTTCTGCCGGCCTCAGCCCCCTCCCCTGTCCCCAACTCCCATTGTACTCCCTGCTCTCAGCACAGTGCCTCCAAATTCACTTCTCTCTTTTTCTACCCCAAGGGGAGGGAGAGGCCAGGGTGGCAGGAAAAGAGAGGGGAGAACCATCGCTGAGCCAATTCTGGGGAGGGAGGGGAAGCCCAGGAAGGAAGGACGGGGAGTGAGGGGCGGGGATATTTTGGAAGAGGAGAAGGCTTTTCTGGTCTCAAGAGAGAAGGGAGCACTGTCTAAAGCAGTGGCCCGGCTGGGGGTGTGCAACCCCGAGGTCACCCACGTCAAATGGCCTCTGTGTGCGTCTCTCCCATGGGGCAGACTCAGGGTTCAAAAGCCTTCTCTGCTCTTTGGCCAGCCCTGTTCCATTCTCCCTCCCCCTCCATTCTAGGATGTCCCTGCTCAGCTCTGCCCTGCTCTTTCTTGGGACTGTGAGACCTTCTTCCACTCTCTTCTCCCTGCCATTTCTCCCTAGAACTCCAAAGCCATCCCCCCTGCCTCTCCAGGTTTCCTGCCCCGACATTCTCTCCCCAGGAAGGCTATAAGTGCATTCACCCTGGTGACCTGCCCTCATGGAGTCAAGACTGTTGCCTCGGCTCAGGTCTCCCCCCAGATGGGCTGGGTTGGGTCACAGACTCAGCGGAAAGGAAGGAAAGAAATGGGGTGGGGGGGGTGGCACTCAGAGCCTGAGGGAAAGGCGAGTAGTGAGCAGCCTGGGCACACCCTGAGCGAGGCACACCCTGAGCTGAGCGGAACAGCGCTTGATTGCGGGGCAGGATCCTTGGGGCTTGGAAATGAATGGAAAAGGAGGAATACAAAAAGGAAGGGTGTGTGTGCAGGAAGGGTGGTGGCAGGAATTAGCAAGAAAGAATAGAGGAAGACAAGAATACAGGGGTATAAAAGACAGAAAGACAGGGTCCAGAGAGAACTGCCGAGTGGGCTTCTAAGAAGTCTGTTTGGCTGCTCCCTACCTGTTTGTGGTGCCTTTCAGGGGATCCCTTGACAAGGCAGCTGCGGCTGAGGCGGAGGTAGCCCCCCAGAACCAAGATCTCCTCGGCAGTCGGGTACCGCTTCTTCCCAGCCCCGGGGACTGCAGCATCAGCTGTGGCAGGGGTGGCCGGTGTGGCGGGGGCTGCAGGGGGCATGGACCGCCGGGGGTTGACTGTGAAGGTGTGTCCACTGCGGCGGGGGGCCCCCACCCCTGGCCCTGCCTTCACTCCATAGAACAAACGGCTCATGAGGGGATCCCCAGGGGGCTGGGGGGCAGGTGGGGCTGGGGGTGGGGGAGACAGAGGGGCTGCTGGTGGGGGCCGGAGTTCCAGTGCTTCCTCTTCCTGAAGTCGAGAGCCTCCAGTCCCGGCCTCCTCTGGTGGGAGGGGGGAGGGTGCAGAGTAGCGGTTCTGCAGGGCGCTCAGAGGCCTGCCCTGAGCCCCCGCCTCCTCCTTCTCAGCCTCCCCATCTCCAGCCTCTGCACCAAGAGGCCCCAGATGCTTCTCAGCAGACTCTGGAGGTTCTGGTTTCTGAGTTTGAGTCTCTGTTTCCCTGGGTGTCCATTCTCGAACCTTCCCAGAGTTCAGGGTCCATTTCCACCCTTCTGTCAGCCTCAAGCCCTTCTCACCATCCTCCACAGGGCTGGGCCTCTGCTCTGCTGCCTCCACTCCTCCAGAGCTGCTGTCTGGAGCCTCTCGTGTCAGAGTCTCTGAGAGCCCCGTAATCTCTTCTGGGGCCATCCTTGGAACTGGCCTGTCTTCTTTTCTCCCACATTCCTCCAAGCAGTCTTTTCTTTCTTCTGTGCTCAGCCTCCACTCTGAAGCCTCCAGTTGTACCAAATTCTGTTCCTGAGACTCTCTAGAGTCAGATCTCCATTTATGGGCCTCTGTCAGGCCCAACTTTTGGTTGTCAGACTCTGCTGGGCTCAGTCTACTTTCTACCATCTCTTTTCTCCTGGGGCTTTGTTCTTCAGGCTCTGCCAGTCTCAGACTCCGCTCTGGAGTTTCTCCAGGGCTCAGCCTCCATTTCCGGGCCTCTGACAGTCTGGAGCTCCTGTCTCCAGCCTCTCCTGGGCTCTGCCTCCAGTCCCGTGCCTCAGAAGGCCTGGGACTCGATTCTCGGGCTCCCCCTATCCCCAGCCTCCTCTCTCTGGCCTCCCTGGGACTGAGCCGCTCTTCTCTTGACTCTCTTCCCATGGGGCTCTGATCCCGCATCTCCCCAGGGCTGGGTCTCCACTCCCGGGTCTCCAAAGGCCCAGGCCTTCTCTCTGCAAGTAGCTCTTCACTCCGCTGCTGCTGCTGCTGGCGCTCCTGCCGAATGAATCTGTTTTGGTGCACTGGTCCGATGGCCTCCAGGAGGACGGCAGACTCATCTGGGTCCGGAGGTCCAGCCTCTGTAGTCCCAGGCGTAGGGCTAGGCTCCCCAGGAGACAGACCAAGCTTGGCCCGGCGGCGCTCCAGGAGCCCCCGCTTCCAGGCTGGCATCTGGGACAGCCGCTCCCGCTCCGCCTTCTCCCGGCCACGAACAGCAGCCTCCTCCTGCCGGCGCCGGGCTAGCAGCTGTAGCTTCCAGTCCGGAATGGTGGCCATGGTCGCCTTGAGGTGAGGGTGAGGAGCACTGGGGGCAGAGAACAGGAAGGAGAGGCTCCAGAGAGGCCCAGGGGGTGAGACTGGGGGTGGGGGGAGAGGAAATGGAGGGGGAGAGGTGGTACACAGAGAAGGGCAGAGGAGCTGAGGGTGACGACAGTGGGAAAGAGGGAGAAGAGGAGGGCAGAGAAAGGGGAAAACCAAGAAAGTGCAGAAAAAGCTATGAGCCAAGGTGGTGGTGGTGGGGGTGTGGTGAGAGGAAGAGTAGAGATTCAAGGCAGAGGCACCAGTCAGATTTGGCAGTAAGGGGTTAAGGGGTATCAGAGACAGTCTCAAGGATGTGGGAAGAGAGAAGGACGAAAAGAGAAGCTGGCATGAGGGAGAAGAGAGAAAAGAGAGGCTGGGGGTGAGGGGGGACAGGGTTCAGGCGAGGTTGCCTCACCGCCACCCCAGGGGCCGTGAGAGTGGGCAGGGAGGTCAGGGAATGCTGCCGGAGAGGGGGCAACGGGATCTCAGGCAGTGTCGGGGAGGTCAGGAGGGGCAGAGTGGAGAGGTCTAGGGGAGAAGGGGGAGTCAGGGGGCAGAGGGGAGAGGGAGCTCCGCGGCTGCGGGCTGGCGCGTCTCGGCGCGGGCCCCAGAGGTCCGGGCTCCCCTTCCAGCCCGGCTGGGGCCACGCCTCTCCGGCCCCAGCCCCCACCCCTCCGCCCGGCACTCCGCCCCAAGGCGGGTCAGGGGAAATACCCTCCCCCGGGGACTTTCAGAACTCGGGTGTCTGGGCTGCCAGGACGTTCCCAGAACCCTGGCGTCCACCGTCCCCTGCCCCCAGGACCGTCACCACCGCCTGCCTCCCCCACCGGCTGTGTCCCGGGACCCAGGCGCGGGGAGGACCGGCTCCACGCCTCTTCTCTCCCGAGCCTGCGAGTCCTGTGCCGGGGTCCCGGCTCTCATGGCACCCTGACATAGCCGGCCATCCCCACCCGGCTCTGATCGCACAGACAGACAATCTCGGCACAAAGAGGAGACAGCCCAAGGTGTCTGGGCCAGGGACGGGAGCGGGGACAGGAGGGAGGAGACACCCCCTCCCCAAGTCTGAAGCCCCTCAGTCAACTCACATGCCGCGGGACTCCCAGGGGAGGGGGTGCGGAGGAGCCTGGCGTCCGGAGAGAGGAGGAGAGAGGAAGAGGAGGAGAGAGGGATCGAGGGAGATCCGGAGACAGGAGGGAAGGGAGGAGGGAGGGAGGGGAGGAGGGAAAGAGGGAGCCGAGGAGGAGGGACGGAGACAGAGACCTGGGGGCCGGGCAGGGGGCGGCGACCGCTTTGTCTGAGGACAATGGGGAGAGGGAAGGGGGCGCGGGGCGGAGCCCGAGGAGGGGGCGGGGCCTCGCTCCCTCCGACCCCGCGTCGGACTCCACCCCGGACTCCCCGCTTCGCGCCACAACCCCTGGCCCCCCGTGCTCTGTCCCTAGGGCCTCTCACCCCGCTCTCACCCGGTAGCCCTGAAGAACCCAGGTGTCCAGACCCCCGCCCCCACCTCGCCGACCCAGGGCGGCGGCCCGTGACTCAGGCCCCTCGAGGGACTTAGGGAGGAAGCAGCAGCTGCTCCGAGCCGGGCCCGCCCTTCCCATCTCCCGCTGCTCCTCCCCACGCTTTTGCCTTCTCCGGCCCGCCTTTGTTACTGCGGGGTCCAGGGTCTCCGCCAGGCTGCGGGGGGCCCGTGGGGATGGGGTGGCAGGAGGGGCGCTTGCAAGCCGGGCGCTTTGGAAGCTCGCTCCCCTACCAGAGCCGCTGCCCTACTCTTTTTAGCTTCAACCTGTCTCCCATGGATCCCCTGGTCTACAGCAGAGAAATTGAGAGATTTGGAGGAAGGGGGACTGGGCCGCTCCGGGAAGGTAGGGGTCGGTCCAAGGCGAGTGGTCGCCACCCAGCGGTCGCCAGAGGGCGCGGTGGCTGCCCAGTCGAGTTCGGTGCGCCCAGGCTCTGGCTCGCCTTCCTTCCCAAACTCAGCCCTGAAGCTTGAGAGACACTGACAGACTGCATGCCATGTGGAGAAAAACCAGGCTCAATTTTATTTTCCTGCAGCGCGTGTTCCTCTGGAGAACAGGGAGCCCTTAGTCACCCGAATTAAGAGGGGGAGCATCCTCAACTAGGTTGAGGACGGAGCCCAGAGGCGGGGCCTAAGGAGGTGGAGAAGCCACCCAGTGGGGCCGCCCTGAGATGCAAGGCATGGAGCCTGAAGGGGCGGACACCACCATCAAACTTGCAGACCCGGGTCGAGCTCCTAGGGAAGCAAGACGTAGATAAGGGGATCCCTGAGGCGCAGAGGCAGTAATAGTGCCAGGGGACTGGTCAGGCCAGACCCTTCTCCTTGTGAGGAGGTTGTTAAGGGGGGGTGGGAGGCAGGGGGGTGGTTTAAGACCTAAACTGTGAGGAGACAGGTAAGTTTCCTACCCCTTCTTCCTGGCTGGTGAGAAATGGACCTTGGAGTCCAGTGGCGGAAACTCAGAATTTAGGGTATGGAGCGGGACTCAGGGAGTGGAGTCTTAACCAGAGGAAGGGACAGCCCCTTTCAGTTCATAGATTTGGGCCTCTGGTCTGAAGCAGCCAGGGCCTGGATGTTAAGGGATTTGGAATTCCACAGGGAGAGGAAATACAGGGCTTGGAACCAGGGTTAGCTCCTCATTCGGCCTCCACATCCTGGGGCCGGGAGAGCAAGCGGAGTTTTCTTTGCAGCTGGGCCCGGAGGTAGTGGAGGTCTTGCTGGTCAAGTCCGTGAGCCAAGCCCAGGTAGACGGTAAGGAGGAGAGCAAGGAGGAGGCGGTCAGTGCCCAGGGTGGGGACCACCCACAGAACTGTCAGCAGCTCCACGCACACTGGGTGACGCAGGTGGGAGAAGAGTCTCAGAGCCCGGGGAGACTTCAGGGCCAGAGGCTCGCCCAGCCCCAGCACATGGTAGTACACCTACGAGAGGGGGAACAGCTTAGAAATGGAGTCAAGCCCTTTTTGCAACTTAGCCGCCTCTTTCCTCCCCTTCCAGGCACCCTCCTGTAAGTCAGGCCCAGGAACCACCCTTCTGAGACTTGGGCCCCTGACCCTCATCTCTGGTTCATGAACCTTCCCCAAGCCTGGGAGGCCCATAGCTTCTGGCCTTTGAGGGAGGGCTGAGGGGTGACTGTCTTATAAGAAAGAGAAGTGAGGAAGTTGAGAGCAAGAGGAAGGTGGAAGAGCATGGGAGTAGGAGGAAGGAAATCATTGGAAGGGAAAGAGGTGTTCTAGAAACGATCAGAGGTCTCAGGTAGGGATCTGGGAGCCTCACCTGTTTGAGGCCCATGAGCTCAGCGTAGTCAAAGACGAGAAGGATGCTGAAGATGAGGAGCCAGGAGATGACGTGGAGCACAAAGCAGAGGAGGGGCACCCAGGTGGCCCATGGCTCAGCCCGAGCCTCCCACAACACGGGGCCTCTGGGTACAGGTTCCCAGTACCGCATCACCAGCTGGGGAAGGATGAGGGACTGGGTATCCCAGCAGCTCACCCTCGAGAGACCTAGACCCAGATGCTGCCTGCCACCCCCACCCCAGGGTGGCCTGCAGCTCTCCCCACCTCTACCATGAGCCTCACCAACAAACATCCACCATGTGGAGGGTGCTGGGTGGGGTTCTAAGGAGGTAAGGATGACCTGTCTCTACTCGGATGATTTACAGAACAGATGGGGGTGACCAGATAGGTACACAAAGTAGCCTATGCCAAGCACCCAATGAGAAAACAGGTACTAAGTGGGAAGCCTTCTCTTGAGACCTAGGGCAGTGGTTTTGAAGAAAGGGCAGGACCAAAGAGGAGTTAACAAGGGGATCTCAAGCAGGACAACACGAACAAAGTTGCAAAGGTAAGAATGCACATATTGTGCTTGGGGAATGACAAGCAGTACACCCTTCTTGATAAAAAGTAGAATGTGTGCTGTGGAGGAATGGAAGCTGAGATTAGTGTCCTAACACCCTCAGTTCTCCTAAACCCACATTTTATCAGAAGCCTAAGATCCTTGCCCCTCCAACCTAGGGCATCCTTCCCACATACTCTGTTTCCCTTGGGGACTCAGCTGCCAGAGCCTCATACCTGCAAGGCCAGGGCAGTGCATGCCACATACAGTGACCTCTGAAGGACCCCAAAGTACCGGGACATCCACGCCTTCACTGTCTCAGTTGCCATGAGGCTGTGCTGCCCCACAAATAGCAGCAGGAGCCCCAGATCCCAAGCCAGGGAGGCAAGGATGCTGTGGTCCTGCAGGGCAGCCAGCCATCCTTGGCGGGCATCTAGGGGGAGTTGGAGAAAGGGACAAAAGATCAGGAAGATGGTGGGAAACACTTCCTACCCTCATCTCTTGGGGCCTCAGGCCATGTCCCTTAATGCTTTCAAGAGCCTTAATGCTTCCTCTCCAGGCTTTCCCCACCTCGCTTTTCCATTCCCTGTTTCTTCCCTCTTCTTCAGGTCTCCTTCAGAGCTGGGGAAGAGGATTCATGTTGGGTAGTCACAAAGGCATGGCTGGAAAGGCTACCATTGGATTGCCCCTCTTATTTCGGTTCTCCAAATGCTCCCTGTTTTTAACATTCTCCTCTCCATAGTCCTCTCTACAAAGCACTTTCCTTAGAATACTCTGCTTATCGCCCTTTCCCTCCCCCTGAGTCTTCACTCTCCCGCCTCTCCAAACCGCTAATCCCTGAGCTCCTAATTTAGCCCTCTGGTGTCCCCGGCCGCTTCTCGGTGGCTTTCACGGTTCTAGTTCCCTCTCCGGACTTCCCCTGTCATTTGTCTCCAAGCCCCGCCCCGCTCACTCGTCTCCGGCCCCACCTCCCTACCCTAGAGCTCATTCTCGACCCCTCCCGCTCACCCGAACCACCAGACTCCGGGATCCCTCCAAGAAGTGGCCGAAGGGAGGTGAAGCGCACGAACTCCACTCCAGTGCCAAAGGCCAGGATGAAAGAGGCGAGGGCAGCAGGGACCAGAAGCAGTGCAGGGGCCATGGCGAGAAACCGAGGGGTGGGGCAAGGGGCGGGCTCGGGATTCCCGCTGCCGCAGGCCCCGCCCCCGGCTCCGCCTCCCGCCTGGGATCCTGCCCAGGAGGGCGGGGCTCTTGCGGGCCGACGCCCCGGTTTCCGGCCGCCGCGCGCGGTTTCTCCCACCAGGCCGCAGGGCCTATACCCCGGGCCTTCCTGAGCCTGCAGTTCTCGCGTCACAGAGGGGATGTTAGAATTCCGACGGAGAGCTGAAAAGGGCAGCGACTCTGCTGCCACCCACGTGGGTCGAATCGCAGCTCGGCTAGTTTTCCTCTCTAAAATGAATACAGTTTCTCTCTTGCAGGAAACAGAGCCTTATGAGCCCCTTTTTGTGTAACAGCTTTGGCTACACAACATAACCAGAGTCAGAGGTTACAAAGCCTCGGTTAACACTTTAATAACGAACGATGAGAGAACGGAAGACTGTTAGCTGAGAAACCAAAGCTCTGAATCACCTAGTACATTTTATTAGATTAAAAAAAGAGTGACTATTTTGCCACAAAATAAATTAATGCATATTCTGTAACTTATTATAAAGTTGAGTTATTAGTAAGAAGGGCAGAGAACTTCTCTGTTGTAACATTGAAACATTTGTTCTAATAATGCCCAAGGCTGTTGATTTGTAACCAGGAGAGTAAAAATATGTTAAAATATTTGTGCTAGAAAGCTTTACTACAGTTGTAAACTTTGCAGTAGGTTAATTTTATCCAAACTTGTGGTAATTAACTATCTATGACTTGACTCGCAACTTCATTAGTTTGATTCTGCTTATTAGTCAGAAACCACTAAGATCTTTTGTCTTAACATATTTTCCCTACAGGCCTGTTTATCATACCTGTAGACTAACATTCATATCTAAAATGCAAAGTAAAAGTAAGGTTTTCTCCATCAGAATTAAAGATCATGTAGCTAAGAACCTAGTCACAGTAGCTTTGACCACAGTAGGGACCTTAAGACAGCTAATTCCCTCAACTTATGGATAGAAGAAAACATAGGCCCAAAGAAATAAAGAAAATTTCCCAAGATGAGAATTAAGGGAAACTGCTAGTCCCATGGGCTCGGGGATGAGAAAATCGCCAAGTAGCATCCCATAGGCTCTACATTCCTTCTCCTCCCTCCCCGAGGCTCAGTACTCCCACCCTCCTCTGAATCAACACTATTGTATACTGCACCAGGCATCTTATGTTTTTCCTCCAGATTCATTCTCCACCCTGCTTTCTGCTTCAGGAAGTTGTCCTGAACGGACTACATCAATGAAGATCACAGCTTTTATTGAGAGAGCCCTTTCTACATAACTGCTCCCTCTTAAGCTTTTGGGCTTAGAGGTGGTCACAACAGAGCTGTGGGTACTGGGGTACTGCAATATTCTTCATGATTTCTCTATGCTCTACCTACTTCTTTGTAATTTTCACTTTATTAAACTCTCCCCCAATTATCCTAATTTGACTGTACCATCATTTCCTGCTAGGTCCCTGACTGATAGAGACATTTATTACACAATGTGCTACAAGCTGTGGGATTCATTGTAAGAAAAGATCTCTACTCTCTAGAAGTTTAAATTGGGGCACTTAAATGGTACCAGTCACAAAGTGGGAGTGCATGTGAGTACTAAATGGAGCTATCGAGACAGCAGGTACTGTTAAGAAATCCTGTGGACCTCAAGGACACGGACTTTCACACAGTACAAGGCTTTGAGTTGTATGAGAAGAGTATTTATTTGGGCCCTACCATGTGAACACCCACAATGGCTGTGCTTAATATGTATTATGAGATTTTAGGTATATTTAAAAGTCAGCATAGTGTTTGGCAAAGCTTGTGCTTTTTCTACTATACCAAAAGTCTGCAAACTTAAGTATAACTTGCAGAGAAGCGCACAAAACTAATCAAGCATCTTTTTTATTGAAGTGGAGTTTACATAACATAAAATTAACTATTTTAAAGAAAACAATCCAGTGGCATTTAGTACATTCATAATGTGTGCAAACATAATCAAAGCATTTTCATCACCCCAAAATAAAACGCTGTACCTATTAAGCAATCACTTCTTATTTTCCCCTCCCCTTAGCCCCTGGCAACCAGCAATCTACTCTGTTTCTATGGATTTACCTATTCTGGGTATTTCATATAAATGGAATCATCCAATGTGACTTTTTGTGTCTGGCTTCTTTCACTTAGCATAATGCTTTTGAGATTCATCCTCAAAACACTGCAGCATGAGTTAGTACTTCATTCCCTTTTATGGCTGAATAATATTCCATTGTATGGATATGTCACAATTTGTTTATCCATTTATCCGTTGACGAACATTTGTGTTGCTTCCATCTTTTGGTTCTTGTGAAAAGCGTCGACATGAACATTCCTGTACAAGTATTTATCTGAACATCTGTTTTACTTGTTTCAGATGTATATCTACGAATGGAATTGCTGGATCACTTGGTAATTCTATGTTTAACTTTTGAGAAACTGTGAAGCTATTTTCCACAACTGCCAAACCATTTTACATTCCCACCAGCAGTGTATAAGGATCCAATTTCTCCACATCCTTGTAATCAACCAACTTTTAAAATTTAAATTTAAGAAATGTTACATTAAAAAAAACTGCACTACACCATAAGGCACAGAGTGAATATTTATTTATCACAGAGGATAAGTCTAAACTCTAATTTTATAAAGACTGGAATAGCAGGCCAGAAAAGTGCAGAGATTTGCTCAAAGTCAAAGCTAAAGGGCGCTTCTAACAAGATGGGGCCAGAGGAGAAGACGACGTTTTAGTAGCATTCCATAACTCCACCCTCACGCTTACTCACTCCAAGCATCCCTTCAAGTTCCTGACACTAAAATTGTTTCCACTGTCTTTCGGAGGACAAGAGAGAATCCCAGTAAGAAAAGAGGAAGAGAGATGGCTTCCTAATGGGAGGCAGGACACCATGTGTGCCACAAAGCAATAAGCACATCAGACTAAGTAAAGATGAGAGCTGCTCAAGATATCTGAGCATGGGATTAGCCAATTTTAAAAGGTCATTTAAGAAAATCTGTGGCTCCCAATCTATCTTTCTCTTTACCCATAAGCCTTTTTGGCCCCACCCATATTCCAAGACAAATCAGATCAATACATCCCAATCCTTTCTATAGCCCTAAGTTCTTTCTTCCAAATATCTTCTAACATTTTATTTATTGGTCTGGGAAGGAATGGGGTGGGGTTTTCAGGTGGATGACATTTCCAAAGCGGAGAGGACAAAGGCCTCTGGCTTGGCTTCCTGCTTCAGCACTCCTGTCAGTAGGAACTCAGGTGAGAGGATGGGCAGCCCGACCCGAGATGGAATGGAACATCGAGGGAAGTCCTGGGAGCATGTGATCACAACTCTCTGAGGCTGGAGAAAGACAGAGAGCAAAGACAGAAAATCAGGGGTGAAAAAGAATCCTAGAAATAGGTTCAAGACCCATGAATCAGTCTTTGCATCCCTGAAATTGTACCTCCTGATATGAAGCCAGATGGAGCACACTGCACTGTCTATGAAATACTCTTGCCAGAAAAGCCGAACCTGAATTTATTCAAGCCTTTAAAATTAACTACAATTTACAGTAAATATAGAAGATAAAAGAACAAGATAAAGGATACAACAAGGGAGCAAACAGAAAAATCCAGACTATAGAACATTCTAAAGGACAACTGAGGGCCAGCCCTGGTGGCCTAATAGTTAAGTTTGGCGTGCTCTGCTTCAGTGACCCTGGTTCAGTTCCCAGGTGTGGACCTACACCACTTGTCTGTCAGTGGCCATGCTGTGGTAGCGGCTCACATACAAAAAGAAGATTGGCAGCAGATGTCAGCTCAGAGCAAATCTTCCTCAGCAAAAAAATAAAAAACAATAAAGGACAACTGACCTAGTTTCTGTAGGAAGTCAATGGCAGAAAAAAGGTTGGGTTGGTGGGGGGATGCTCTGGAGTAAAAGAGAATTAAGAGATATAACAATTGTGGCAATATATGGACCTGGTTTGAATCCTGATTTAAATTGTAAAAAGACATTTTCAGCCAAGTGGAGAAATTTGATTCATGGAGTATGAGAAAATGACCAAGAAACTATTGTTAATTTTGTTATGCATCAATAACAGCATTGTGATTATGTGAGAAAATGTACATATTTCTTAGAGATGTATACTTCAAGTATGTAGGAGGAAATAACATGATGTTTGCAGTTTTCCTATAAAATACCTCAGCAGGGCCGGCCCCATGGCTTAGCGGTTAAGTGCACCCGCTCCACTACTGGCGGCCCGGGTTCAGATCCCGGGCACGCACTGACGTACCGCTTCTCCAGCCATGCTGAGGCCGCATCCCACATACAGCAACTAGAGGGATGTGCAACTGTGACATACAACTATCTACTGGGGCTTTGGGGAAAAAAAAAAAAGGAGGAGGATTGGCAATAGATGTTAGCTCAGAGCTGGTCTTCCTCAGCAAAAAAAAAAAAAAAGAGGAGGATTAGCATGGATGTCAGCTCAGGGCTGATCTTCCTCACAAAAAATAAAATAAAAAAAAATTAAATACCTCAGCAAAGAAAATGAAAGAAAAAGAAAAAAAAGGGATAGATAGAGCAAATGTAGCAAAATCTAAATTAACCTGTTGAATCTGAGTGACTAGTATATGCAGGTTCACTGCATTATCCTCTCTCCTTTTGTGTATATTTGAAAATTTCTTAAATATAAAATAAAAATAAGTCCATTTGGTATCAGCAGGCCTCTTTCTCATTCCTATCCCTTTCTGTACCATAGGTCTTCCCTCCACCCTCACACTACTCTGTGTTCCCATCTGTACTTCCATTTTGTCCTCCAACCTTTTCCCATTCTGGCCACCTCCCCAGATCCAGAACATAGCACCCATACCTTATAGGACCGGGGCATGCTGGGTAGGACAGTGCCTCCACAGCAGCTGATGATCTCTCCCATCTGAGGTGGAGGTGGCTGGACTCCAGGGGTGACATGAATCTCATAGCCCTAAGAGGAAGAAAATGGTGAAGCAGTAGATGTATGCACTGAGACGCCATGGACCATTGGGAAACCTCTGGAGGAAGGGCTGAAACATGGGGCAGAACATAGCCTCTCACCTCCAGCAGCCTTCGCTCCCGAGCTCGGCTCAGAGCATCCCGAAGGCTGAAGCCAAAGTTCTCCTCCTGCTCAGGATCAGTCACCACATACTCATCCGGGGGCAAGAAGCAACCAGCCTTGCGGGACTAGGGACATAGCAATCAGCATCAAAGCTCAGCCCAGCCCCTCACCCAGCTCTTCTGCCTGGTATTTGTAGGGAGCTCGCAAAATGTTTCTTGAGTTAAGCTTTCTGCCTCACTAACCTCCCTTGTTTCCTGTGCCCCGTTTTCCTCCCACCACTTTCTAGAGCATATGTGAGCAGTCATCTCTGGTCACTATCACTACTGGTCTGTCACCATCTCCTGACCTCTCACCTGGTGCAGCCAGTCCAGGGAGAGGATGGGGATCCCCCGCCCCAGGGCACACAGGAACTTGACTGTCCGGTGGATTCGATCAGTCACCAGGTGAGAAGCCTCTGCCACGGAGCTGGCCAGACTTCCGCCCAGGGCCAGCACAGCCCGCTCTCCTCGAGCATCCACCACTCCTGTGAAGAGCACCTGTGAAGGGAGTTAGCCTGAGCTGGTCACAGCAACCCATGACGTCAGCGCCCGTCTCCAAAATCCCCTCGGTCTCCTCCCATCCTCCCACATCTCCCTTGAAAGCCTCACGCCCTTTCTCTCCTACTTTGGGGGCCGTGGACTCTTGGTTAGGTTTGGTCCGTCGGAGGCTGCGGCTTGGTATTCCCTCTTCCTCTGCTTGGTCTCTCTTTCTCTTGCCTGGTTCTGGAATCACTACATCCTGGGATTGAGAAAGATCTTGGTGGGAGTTTCTGAGCCCCCAAGCCCTTTCCTAGCTTCATGGCCCCAGCCCTCTCCTCACCTCCTTCTTCCCTGGCCTCTCTGTGGGATCTTCTTCCTCTTCCTTGAGGAATGCTGTCTTCTGGGGAACCTTCCCTCTTGGGAGCCGTTTTTGAAGTGGGGATAAGTCTAGGGTAGCTAAAGGTCTCTTGCGGCTTTGAGAGGCCTTAGGCTGGGGCTCTGGAGTGAACCCAGATGTACCTGCTCCCTCTACCTTTTGGATCCGGGAAGCACGCGTGGGTGCCTCAGGAAGCTGGGCAAAGGCAGGCTCAGGAATGGTTCTAAGGGACTCAGCTGCTCTCACTATTCTTTGTCTTTGTTTCCTTGAGTTAGGTTCCGGGGGTGCAGAGCAGGGTTCATGGACAATGGGAGCTGTAAGGGACCCATACTTCCTAGTGGCCCTTGGCCTCTTGCTGCGACTGGCTTGAGGGATGGGCTCAGGGGGAATAGGTTGGTCTGTGGGGACAGGAGACTGGAATTCAGGAGTGGTAGGAACCGGCATAGCCCTTATTGTAGAAGACCTTAGTGTCCTGCTCTGACCACTCTGAGCTATGCCTTTGGGGGTGACAGGCTGGTCTGTGGGGGAGGGAGGTTCAAGGTCAGGGGCTGTGGGTTCAATTGGTTGGGGGGTCTTGACAGAGGACCTATGTGTCCTGCCCCGAGTGGCCGGAGTTGTGGGCTCAGGGGTAACAGGTTGGTCTGTGGGGGTGGAAGGCTGGAGCTCAGGGGCTGTGGGGACAATTGGTTCGGGGGTCTTGACAGAAGACCTACGTGTCCTGCCCCGAGATGTGGGTTTGGAGGTGACAGGTTGGTCTGTGGGGGTGGAAGGTTGGAGCTCTGGGGCTGTGGGGACAGTTGGTTCGCAAGTCTTGACAGCAAATCTATGTGTTCTGCCCCGAGTGGCCCGGGATGTGGGTTTGGGGGTAACAGGTTGGTCTGTAGGGGTGGAAGGCTGGAGCTCAGAGGCTGTGGGAACAATTGGTTTGGGGGTCTTGACAGAAGACCTATGTGTCCTGCCTTGAGTGGCCCCAGATGTGGGTTCAGTGGTGACAGACTGGTCTTTGGAGGTGGAAGGCTGGAGTTCAGGGGTTGTGGGGACAATTGGTTCAGGGGTCTTGACAGAAGACCTATGTGTCCTTCCTCGAGTGGCTCGAGATGTGGATGTGAAGACGCCAGACTGGTCTTTGGAGGTTGGAGGCTGGAGCTCAGGGGCCGTGGGGACAATTGGTTCAGGAGTCTTGACAGAGACCTTATGTGTTCTGCCCCGAGTGGCCCAAGATGTGAGCTCAACTGTGACAGGTTGGTCTGTGGGGGTAGGAGGCTGGAACTCAGGGGCTGTGGGGACAACTTGTTCAGGGATCTTGACAGAGGACCTATGTGTCCTGGCCTGAGATGTGAGCTCAACTGTGACAGGTTGGTCTGTGGGGGTAGAAGGCTGGAGCTCAGGGGCTGTGGGGACAATTGGTTCAGGGGTCTTGACAAAGGATCTATGTGTCCTGCCCCGAGTGGCCCGAGATGTGAGCTCAACAGTGACAGGTTGGTCTGTGGGGGTAGGAGGCTGAAGCTCAGGGGCTATGGGGACAACTGGTTCAGGGGTCTTGACAGAGGACCTATGTGTCCTGCCCCGAGTGGCCCGAGATGTAGGTGTGGGGATGATAGATTGGTCTTTGGAGGTGGAAGGTTGCAGCTCAGGAGCTGTGGGGACAACTGGCTCAGGGGCCTTGACAGAAGATCTATGTGTCCTGCCCCGAGATGTGGGCTCAGGGGTGACAGGCTGTTCTTTAGAGGTGGAAGGGTGGAGCTCAGGAGCTGTGGGGACAACTGGTTCAGGGGTCTTGACAGAGGTCCTATGTGTCCTGCCCCGAGTCCGAGATGTGAGCTTAGGGGTGACAGGCTGGTCTTTGGAGGTGGAAGATTGCAGCTCCGGCGCTGTGGGGACAACTGGTGCAGGGGTCATTTCAGAAGACCTACGTGTTCTGCTCCGAGTGGCCCGAGATGTGGGCTCAGGGCTGACAGGCTGGTCTGTTGGGGTGGTAGGGTGGGACTCAGGGGCTATAGAAGAAACTGGAGAGGGTGTCAACCTGGAGGACCCCTGGGGCCTGACTTTGGGTTTTGAGTGGAGAGGCTCCAGCTCTGTGGAAGGAATCTCTGGGGTTCCCTGACTCCCATTTTGCTTTTGGCTCTGAGAGATGAGGGGGTTTTGGAGTGGGACCGAGGCTTCAGGCACCGCAGGAGGCAGAAAAGCATCTGGGGATTCCTGATCACCCTGGGGAGAAAGAGAAGCAAGTGAGGGAGGAAGAGGCAAAGAGAAGAGAAAGGACTTGAATACTGTTTTTTTGTGTGTGTGTGTGAGGAAGATCAGCCCTGTGCTAACATCTGCCAATCCTCCTCTTTTTTTTTTTTTCCCGAGGAAGACTGGCCTTAGGCTAACATTCGTGCCCATCTTCCTCCACTTTATATGGGACGCCGCCACAGCAGGGCTTGCCAAGCAGTGCCTCGGTGCGCACCCGGGATCCGAACCGGCAAACCCGGGGCCGCCGCAGTGGAGCGCACGCACTTAACTGCTTGCGCCACCTGGCCGGCCCCGATACTGTTCTTGATACTTGTTCGTGGTTAGAGTACGCTCACTGGCATTTCCGTCTGTGATCCCTCTTCCATTAGACTGGGAACTTCCTGGGGAGGAAGCAGTCCTCTTTCCCAGGGATCTCTCCCCATAACACCAGTATGGTGTTCTCCATATATGGATAACGGTAATGAAGAAGATGGTTGGGGGAAAGAGGGAAGGGATACGAAGAAAGGAAGGGACTTTCTTTCTGAGTCAGGTAGAGGGAGATAGAACTTGGGAAACAGATATGGAAAACAACAGGTGCCAGGGGTAAAGGTATAGAAGCCAACTAAGGAGCAGTGAGAATGGCAGAAAAGTGAGAAGATGGGGAAGGGAGTAGATTAAAGTAAGGTCAGGGGAAGAGCAGAGGAGGGGATGTGGAGATCCTTGTGGAGGAGGGAGAGGTAGAGAAAGCAGCTCTCACCCTGGAAGCCTTCTCAGCAGGTGGCATCTCGCAATTCAAGTGGCCTAGACAGAAGGTAAAGACAAGTGCGGCTGAGGTCTAAGCAGTCCGTTACTTAGCGGGTGATGAGGGCTGTGTACCACCCTGGGTGCCCCTCTGCCTTCACTTACCTCTCTCCTGCCTCCTGGGGCTCACTGCGACTCCCCTTCCTCCACCTGATTGGCTCCCAGAAGCTACTGTGGCTGCAGCAAGTCCCTGAAGGCCCCCCGCCCCCACCGCAGGCTCTGGTGTTGGACTGGAGGCCTTCCCTTTCTGGTCCTGGCTCCCTCTCTCCGGCTCCCCTCCTTGAGGGCCTCTCTCTAGTATCACTTTGGATACCTTGACTTCTAACCCACCTGCCTCACACACTCTCTCTGGTACTAGTTTCTCTGCTTCTCTCTCAAATATTTCTCTTGCAAGAGTCTGCTTTTCTCTCTCTTTCTCTTGTATTTCCTCGGGTGTCTCAATTTCTACCTTCAAACTCTCCATATTCCTTTCGGGACTTGTCACCTTTTCGTCAGAATCTTGTCTCTGAGTGTCTCTAGCTAACACCTGCTTTTGTTCACTGTCCTGTATCCCTCTGGTTAATTCTTCCTCTCCTATCACATTTTCTCTCTCCCCTTCTAGTGGCAGTTTCTTGGTTGCCCTCTCCAATGGCCCTCTCTCAGGGGTCACCCTCTCTGCTGTTTCCCTTGGTGTACCCATGTCTTTCTCCACAGTTTGCATCTCTCTGCCTTGAATCCCCAGTGGCTCTGCATGAACTGGGCTCTCTGGATGCTGTTCTCCTGGTGTTGCCCTAGGTGGAGAGAGGCAAGATCCATGGGCCTCAAGGTGGCCAGCAACGGGCTGGGTCTCAGAGGACTCAGACTCTCTTGGACAGTATGGCTGTGTAGCCAAGACCTCCCATAGCTCATCCAGGGCACCTGGAAGTAGAGTCAGAAAGAGAGAGGGATGAAGGTTGAAAAGGTAATAGGTTGAGAAAGGATTAAGATAAATCCATGAATAATAAATCTAAATCGGTTATTAAAGGAAAGCTGGAATAAGGAGGATAGTCATAACATTTAATGTTTGTCTCAAAAAGTAAGACCATACCTTCATATAAAAGCTTTCTTGGTAGCCTCTTTAAAAACGATGCTAGACTAGTTGCTCTACGGGTCTGACTTAATATGGCCTTTTTTTTTTGGTGAGGAAGATTGGCCTTGAGCTAACATCCGTTGCCAATCTTCCTCTTTTTGCTGAGGAAGATTGGCCTTGAGCTAACATCTCTGCCCATCTTCCTCTATCTTATATGTGGGACGCCTGCCACAGCATGGCTTGATAAGTGGTGCATAGGTCCGTGCCTGGGATCTGAACCTGTGAACCCTGGGACGCAGAAGTGGAGCACGTGAACTTAACCACTACACCACCAGGCTGGCCCCTTAATATGGCATTTTTTTCTGATGAGTTGGAGAAACATCAGCAAAAGAGTCAAAAAATATGAAAGAAACGTGTAGAGGGAGAAAACAAGGATGCCCAGTCAGGGCACAGAGGAGGGGACAGTTTCTTATACCTTCGGCCTGGAAGCTGCAACGGGAAGGGCCAGGCTCTTGGGGTAGAGTTAACAGGAAGGCCTGGGTGGGTTCATCCTCCATGCTCTGGAGTGCTGCACAAGAAAAGATGGCCTAAGCACAGCTTCTCCACACAACTCCGGGGTCCCATTCCTGGTCTCCTGCCCTGACCACACCAGCTTTCACACCTTTCAAGGACCACCAGCCTAATCTCCCAGCTCCCATCAGACACAGGTGTCCTCACCTGCCAGGCTCTGACCCTCTTTCGCCACAAAACACTGGGTAGCTTGTAGGTCGAGATCTTCAGAATCTGGTGGGGGAGGAATACAAGATAGATAAGAAAAAAATCATATCTGACCCATAACTCCTTACTTTTTCTCTACTATTCTCTCCCCAACCCCAACCCCTATGCAATAGACTGAATGTTTGTGTCCTCCCACAAATTCTTATGTTGAAACCTAACCCCCAAAGTGATGGTTTTCAGAGCTGGGGCCTCTGGCAGGTGATTAGGTCATGAGGGGGAAGCCCTCATGAACGGGATTACTGTTCTTATAAAAGAGACCCCAAGAGAGTTCCTTTGTGCCCTTCTGCCATGTGAGGATACAGCAAGATGACTGTCTATGAACAAGGAAGAGGGCCCTCACCAGATACTGAATATGCTGGCACCTTGATCTCGGACTTCCCAGCCTTCAGAACCATGAGAAATAAATTTCTATTGTTTATAAGCCACCCAGGCTATGGAACTTTGTCATAGCAGCTTGAAAGGACTAAGCCACCCTATAAGCACTCTTTCTTTTAGAGGTCAAGAGAGGAAGGAAGGCCAGCACTTACCATCATGGTCGTCTCCAGAGTCCTTGGCTCCATCCACATGTGGTTCTCTCTCCCCTTCTGTGGGCGTCTGGGCTCCCTCTCTCTGTGGCTGAGTGGGTTCTCCTGGAGTGCCTGTGTCCACCACCAGATCTGTTAGGTTCTCCCTTGAGACAGGGAGAAGGCCCTGCTCCACTAATGCCACAGGTGACCCACCCTGGGCCCCTGCCTCAAGAGCGCTCTCCTGCTTAAGAACAGCCACAGTACACTCTGTCCCAGTATCCCCTCCTGTGAGAAGCTGGCTCTTTCTTACATCTGTCACTGCTGAGGCTCTTAAGGATGTGACCTCACAGTCCCCAACTGGAGGAGGCTGGGCTTCCTTTAGACGCACCATAGGCAGCTTTGCTGGGCCCCCTTCTGCTTCCACATCTGTTTGATTTGTCCATGCCACAGGTACCTGATGCTTCTCCAGAAGTGTAACATCTGGCCCTGGTGGGACTTCCTCCTTCACTTGTGTGTTGACATCCAGTGTGGCAGAGGCTTGGCTTCTCTCCAGGTGGACTGCAGGTGAGCTCTTATCTTCCTCCATCTCTCTATCACTGTCCCCAAGAGGAGGTTGGCTCTTTTCTGAATGTGCCCCATCTGTGGGATCCTTGGGGACAATTCCTCTCTTTTCCATTGGGAGCTCCTCTTCCTCCACATCGGTGTCACTGTCTCTCTCGGCAGAGGTTTGGCTTTGCTCCAGAAGGATGACAGGTTGGGCTTTGTCCTCTTCCATAGCTGTACCTCTGTTCCAGGTAAGAGCTCGGCTCTCTTTCAGACATGCCAAAGTGAGTGCTGCTGAGACTTCTTCCTCGTCATCTGTATTGCTGTCGATCACCATGGGGGCTTGGCTTCTCTCCAGAGGGACCGTTAGTAGGGCCTCACCCTCCTCCACATCTGTATCACTACCAGCTGGGCTCTCCTGCAGATGCGCCAAGCCAGGTGCCCCAGGACTCTTTGCATCATCTCCATGGAAGATTTGCCTCTTCTTCATAGGAACTACAGCTGGGGTAGCGGGGATCCCCTCTTCTTCCACATCGGTATCACTCTCTATGAAGCCCCAAGGCTGGGCCCTTTCCAAATGGACCTCAGCTGGCCTTCCTGGAGATCTGCTCTCATCATCCACGTCTGTGTCACTGTCCTCCTCAGCAGATTGGCTCCTCTCCAGAATCACCCCAGCTGGAACTACCCCATTCCTTGCATCCCTCTTGACTTTTGTGTCATTGTCCCTTTCCTTCACTGAACACTGATCCTTTTCAAGTTGGATTTCAGTTGTGGTTGCTTTAGGCTGTTCTGTCTCTGCAATGGCACCTCTCCTGGCAGCTGAGGAGGGCTCCCCTGCTGCTAGTTGCTGACTTTCTTCCTCATCTGTGTCACTGTCCAAGTTGAAGGCAAAAGGTGGCCCAGGGCCACCCGGGGCTAGGGAAGGCCCCTCTTCATCACTGTGAAGGGAAGAGAAGAGAAACAGTCTATAGAATCTATTTCCCAAGAAGGGATACCCCATCAACTGTTCCCCAACCCCTACTTTCATGATCATTATCTCTTAGAGATGAATCTTCCAGCCCCTGGGTCCTCCTTCTGAAGACTCAGGTGTCTGGCCCTTCGGCACTCACCTCTCCGGAACTACTGTTGCCAAAGAGGAAGATGTAGTCCTTGGTTCTTTCACCACATGCCTTTCAGAAAGAGGATCTGTCGAGAGTAGAAAGGAGTAAGTTGACAGTTTCACACTCACCATCCCCGTCTCTTCACCCACCCACCCAATACACACACTTACCTACTTCCTCCTCTGAGTCCTCAGCCAACAGGAGGCCCTGGGGATGAGCTCCTCCCTGTACCCTGGGTGTCTCCTCTACAGTTAGAGGGCCCCGGGAGACAAAAGGCAGGGGGACATCCAGGCGATGGTACTGGCAGGGCAAGTCAGCAAAGAGAATCAACTCCTGGTCTCTCAGACGATGACTCACTCCAGGGCTTAGGACCTTAGGAGGCCTCAGGATTTGAGTCCCATTGAGGCTCCCACAATCCCGGAGGACAGGTGCCTTGTCCCGGGCCAGGATTTCAATCACTGCATGTTGTTTGGAGATGGATGGAAAAGGCAGGGCCACAGAGCAATCAGGCATTCGGCCTACCACATTCTTCCCGAGGTAGAGTGGGAAATCTAAGAATCAGAGAGGCAGATAGATTCCAAGGCCAGAATCTTGGCCTACTATTAGGAAAACGTTCCTATTAAGTACCCCACTACTCACACAAGGTCCCCACGTGCATTAGACAAATAAAAGGCCCCAGGACATCTAGGTATTGAAGAATATATGTAACATATTGTTCATAGTCAATACCTCATCCTCCACACGGGATTTTTTTCTATTGTGGTAAAATATACATAAGATTTACCATTTTAACCATTTCTTTCTTTTTTTTTTTTTTGTGAGGAAGATCAGCCCTGAGCTAACATCCATGCCAATCCTCCTCTTTTTGCTGAGGAAGACTCTTTTTGCTGAGGAAGACTGGCCCTGGGCTAACATCTGTGCCTATCTTCCTCCACTTTATATGGGACGCCGCCACAGCATGGCCTGACAAGCGGTGCAACGGTGCGCGCCCGGGATCCAAACCTGGGCCGCCAGCAGCTGAGCCTGCGCACTTAACCGCTACGCCACGGGACTGGCCCTAACCATTTCTAAGTGTACAGTTCAGTGGCATTAAGTATATTCACATTGTTGTGCAACCATCACTACCATCCATTTCCAGACCACACTGGATTTTTATTTGAATCTCTTCATTTTCTAGCAAAGTAAAATCACCTCTGGTGAGTCCAGGGCACTCGCCTGGAGCAATTAACTCAATCAGCCCCCTGTTCTCCATTGCCAGTAAAAGAATTTTTTCACATCTCCTTGAAACATATATAAGCCTCCTGCAAACCTCCTACTACTTCCTTACAAAAACGAGAGGCCTATACCAGTACTTCAGCATCCAATACCCTCTGACCTTTTTCTGGTCCATAGGCACTACTGAAGATACGCAGTCGCCCTACGGGCGCCAAGTTACACCCCAAGGATTCACTGGGTCTCTCTGTCTCCTCCTCTTCTTCAGCCTCCCAGTCAATAGCCTGAGTGTCCTCCATAATCTGGGAAGGAAACACATCATCATCTCTATTATTGGTTCACACACACAGCCTCAGGGAGAAGACTGATAACCGGGCTAAACCTGGATAGTTATGGAGGTTCATGCTTCTCTTTCCGCCGATCATTCTGTGGTTATCTTTCTGAAGCATTTAAAAAATATTTTTGACCACGATACAGAATAAGAAATAAATATTATAAGGTCCCAAATATATACAAACACATGTGCTTATTTATACAGACAAACGTTCTGAGAAAAAATGCCTAGCCTTACTATATACAACACACTGATAGCTTCATTCTATTTTTTTCTATTCTCTATTTTTTATTTTTTAAATTTTTTGTTTTTTGTGTGTGAGGAAGATCAGCCCTGAGCTAACATCCATGCCAATCCTCCTGTTTTTGCTGAGGAAGATTGGCCCTGGGCTAACATCTGTGCCTATCTTCCTCCACTTTATATGGGACGCCGCCACAGCATGGCCTGACAAGCGGTGCATTGGGGTGTGCCCGAGATCCGAACCTGGGCCACCAGAAGCAGAGCCAGCACACTTAGCCGCTACGCCACGGGGCCAGCCCTATTCTCTATTTTTTAAATGCTGATTTGCAACCCACTAAATTGATTTCACTATCCACTATTGGGTTGCAACCCATAGTTTGAAAAACACCATTTTAAAGGGAGCTAACTTTTGCCAAGCATCAACTATCTGTCAGGCATTGTGTTACGTGTCAGGCATGGTAATGATATGAGGCAGGCATTTAGGAATCTCAGGCTAAAATATTAAGTAATTTGCTGCAGATAACAGCAGGTAAGTGGAAAGGACAGGAATAAAGGTGCTTCTGGCTGCAAAGCCCATGCTTTTTACCCTTTACCAGACCACCTCAGTGTGATCAGACTAACTGCAAAGAATCATAATAGCTGACATATATAGATGCTCGCTACGTGTCAAGCACTGTTCTAGTTACTTTGCATGGACTGACTCATTTAATCATCACAAGAACCCTACAAAGTGTTATTATTAACTTCTATTTCTCGGATAAAGAAACTGCAACATAGATGGGTTAAGGAAAATGCCCAAGATCACCCACATGTCCCTCCCCTGTTTAATATATACATATATTTTTTTGGTGAGGAAGATTGGCCCTGAGCTAACATCTGTTGCCAATCTTTCTCTTTATGCTTGAGGAAGATGGTCCCTGAGCTAACATCTGTGCCAATCTTCCTCTATTTTATTTGTGGGACGCCTGCCACAGCATGGCTTGATGAGCGGTGCGTATGTCCGCACCCGGGATCCGAACCCACAAACCCAGGGCCACTGAAACAGAGCACCTTAACCACTATGCTACCGGGCCAGCCCCTGTTTAATATTCTTTGATGGCTTTCCATGCCCACAGGATAACATAAAATCTAAACTCCTTAGCAAGACCCTCTATGATCTGAACTTCATGTCCTGCAATGTATGCCCCCCCTCAAGCCTATGGTTCAACCACATGAATCTTCTCCCTACTCTCTGAACACACTGTTCCTGTTGTCCCCCACATCTGCATGCCTTAGCCAGCTCCTTGGCCCTTTGCTCCTAGTTTTCTGGTCTAACTCCTACCCATCTTTTACAATTCAGTTCAAATGTCACTTCCTTAGCAAAGCCCTTCCTGGAGTCTTGCCTGCTTTCTGGTGTTCCTGGTGTATCCTACGTGTTCCGCAATGGTGAAAGGACTTGAAACTATCCTAACACTTCTCACCATATTGTAACCGTTACTTTCCCTTTCTGCCTTCACACATCCCTTCGAGAACTGGACCAGCAGAAGTGTCTTTTCCCCTGGGGTCCATCATATTCCTTCAAGAGTAGTCATTGTGCACCTGGTACCGTTCGAAGTATTCAGGGTATATTCACGAACGAAACATAAAATTCACCCAGCCCTCCTGATGAAAGAACAAATGAAAGATGAAAACTCAAAATAGCATGGACGGAATTCACTTAGCAAGATGCCACCATAGAGGGAAACTGTTGACAGGAAGGGAAAGTGGGACGCCTCCTTGGAGATAGTACCAACTCCGTCATTAAGACTGGCGAACTCAGCGGGTGCCCATGACCCTTGGCTCCAATCCAATGGGCCACCATCTTTGATCCCCATCCCAGTGGGTTCCCTCCTGGCCTAACGTCTCCCTGTGTCTTCATACCTAAACTCGGGGAGGGGCGTCAAGTAAAGATGAATATTATAATCCGAGAAGCAAACTTCCAAATCTCCTCCGCCCAGTCGCACCCAAGGCACGCCCCTCCCGCCCTCCGGGAGAACCAAGATGGCACCCGGGGAGCTGTGGGCAAGGCCCCCCAGAACTCACCTACTTTGAGTCCCCGCGCGCGCCACCAGTAACGGCCGCGGGCCGGTGGCGCGACTGCTCGCGCCCGGAGGGAGCCGATTCTCTGATTGGCTCCCGCCGCTGTCTTTCACAGTCCTGCGGCAGGCCGATTGATCAAATATCCAACGCGGAGGCACATCCATAGCCCCGCCCCCATCCCCGCCCCGCCCCCTCACCGCTCAAAGGGGCGGCTTCTCTCAGGGGCCTGAGATCCGTTGTGCGAGGCGGTAAGCAGAGGCCGCCCTCCGCGCTCAGAATCGCGCACTCCGATTGGGCAGCTGCGAGGGACAACCCACTACCGCCTCACCACCCACCGCCCACTTCCCGCGCAGATTTCCAAACCGCTACCACAGAGTCTGGTTGCCGGCGCGGATAGAGGGACTTACCATAGTCGTCGCCCGATGCGTCTAGTGCGGCCAGAGCGCCCTTCCTCAGTCCTCCCAGACATGGTGTCCGCTGACTCATGAGAAGTGAAAACGGGTTGCGGGTTGCAGTCGTGGCCGGAGGCTGCAGTTTGGAGAACTGCCCGTAGGCGTGGCGCTTGAGGACTCCTCATTGCAATGGAAGTTCATTTCTTTTTGATTTGGCTTGTTTAGTAGAAGTCATGTCATTTCCTCCTTGAGAATACATCCCTGATAGACATTTTGAGGTCATTTTCCTAAAGCAAAGATCCCTAGGCGAACAGAAAGAACTATTTTGCTAACCATCTTAAAGGCTGACCGAGGTCTTTCAAGGGGTTAAAGAAGGATGATAAAACCATTTATTTCATCATCTCATACTAAGACAGAAGAGGATAGTAACAATTTGACATGTGTATGATTTAGGAAGTCCTTTTGCATTTTATCTCACTTCAGCCTGACCACAGCAATCAAATAGGCAGAAGTAGATTTTACAGAGGGAATTGAAGCTCTGCGAAGGTGAATGACTTGCTTAGATTCCTACAGCTAATGTAAGGTAGAGAAATTGAAACGTCCTCTCATTCTAAATTCTGAACTCTCTCCACTGCCACAAAATAACTACTTTCATTGTGACCATGCCCTAAAACATAAAACATTTTATTTTGAGTGGGTAGAGGGGTCTTACACAACTTGATATTCTTTTATTTAGGTGACTGAGAAATGTGTGTTGAATCCAATGTGAATTATCAGTGATGACCTTGATATCACATGTCCTGTATTATGGTGCTTACCACACTCCATTGTTTATACACTTCTCACGAAACTGCAAGATCCTGGTAGGCCAGGGAGAGAATTTTTAATCGTTTTTGTATCCCTAGCTCCTGGTTTGGTGGACACTTAGTATCTATCAAATGAATTAATGCCTGAGAAGAAACATGCGGCTCTGACTTGAGCCCATCCAATTTTCTCCCATCAATCTCCCTCCCTATCCCCCTTTTGTTCAATCCTGGGGTTCTTGAAAGGTTGCAGTGGCCAGCCAGCTGGTCAGTGAAATCAGCGAACTGAAAAAGGCTGAAAAGACACTGAAATTCTATCAGGCATCCCACCCCATAGTTCTGTTTGACAAGACCACAGTGTCTTCAACGCTTGCCCTAAGGCCCAGATCCCCTACACGGAAGGAAACTTCTGGCTTCACAGATCCCAGATATCAGCTTCTCTAAACTATTCAACTTATTCTCTGAACGTAACCTCCAGACAATTACATCTCTATCCTGAAAAGCCCCTGTCGCAATTTTGTTTCTCTTTCAAAATATTATCATTAGAAAACTCCCAAAGAAATAGCAGGAGGGCAATCCCCTCCTTCTTCCTGAGTATCTGGGGGAGCGGCGGCTTACTGGAGTTCATGCCTTGGGTCACCAAAGGACCAGCTGTTAGATAGCAGAGCAGGGTGCCGCATTTCTCCCCAGTTTTCGCTGAGCTAAGCAGTCCTGTCTTCCCAAGAGCTACCGCCGCGGGGAGCTTTCAGGGCGTGCCCACTCCTTCCAACGCCTGGCACTCCAGGGGTCCCAAATCCTGTATCCCCGAAAATGACGCTCTTTTTGTACAAAAAACTCAGGCATAGAGGAAAGAAATCGTACGCAAGGTCATTTTTTCATAAAATACAAAAAAAGTCCAAAACCAAAAACCCGGTACCCACCCATTCGTCCCTTCATTTTGCAGCGTGGACAACAATAGAGAACTACAACTCCCAGAGCTGACTGCGTTCGTCCACTCGCGCAGAGACCAATGGACGTCTGATACATGACCAGCATCGACTAATCAGGGCCAGCCTCGATGAAGCTTTGTCTCCCCACCGCGGCGCGGAGCGCGTTCTCCCGCCTTCCCGCCCCGGCGCACGCGCGCCCCGCCCTGCCAGCCTTCCCTCCTGCGCCCTCCCCTCTCCTTTCTCCCTCTCAGAACCTTCCTGCCGCCGCGTTCGGACCTCGCTGCTCCAGCCTCCGGGGCACGTCCCATCCTTCCAGCCTGCGGCCAGCAGCAGAGAAAAAAAACCCCACATATCGTTTTCTTGCCCCGTACACACCTTGAGGCGAGGAAAAGAATTAAAATAAATTTTAAACATGAGGGAAATCGTGCACATCCAGGCCGGTCAATGTGGCAACCAGATCGGTGCCAAGGTAAGGATTTTAAACCTCTTTTAACTATATTTCTTTTTCCGAAGGAAAAAACCCGGACAAATGATAAAGAGTGGTTGTAGGACATTTGCACTCTTCATCTTTAGCCAAGCTTTGCCAAAAAAAGTTTTGTATATATAATACCCATTTGTTGCTAGAATTTGCTCTTAAGAAAATGGGGAATGATTTTTTTTGGCAGGCTCATTTTGGGGAAGCCATTAAAAGCACCCTTCAGATTTAGGGGGCGGGAAGACCGAGGTTCTGCAAGCTTTTACTTAAAGAGGATCTCCTAACGGTCTGAAGACTGGGGAGGGAGGGACATGCGGAAACAGTCCGAGACAAAGCGAGGCGAGGTTTTCCCCGGGTGCATCTCCCTTGGCGGGGCTTTATGTGGCTAAGCCGGAGGGGGAAGGGACGAGGCTGGGCGGGCAGCTGCAGAGAGCTGGGATCCCAAGGTGGGGGACGCGGTGGGCCACTGTGGGTTGCACTACGCGTTACCATTCACAAAAGATCGGGGCTCTCCGCGCGCCCGCGATCCCCGAGGGGCGGTCCGGTAGTTTTTCGTGGATGGAAGGCTAATATGTGCTCGATTAATTTTACTTTCTTTGATTTCCCCTTAAAAGAGACCCTTTTAGGGAGTGAACAGATGAGAAAGAGGGCGGGAGAAAAGGAGGGGGTCGTTTTCTTTAAAGGGTCCCTTACGACTAAAGGATGGGAGAAAGGAAGGTGATCCTCATTTAAAGCAAGGGGAGAAAAGCGAAGGAATAAAATTCGAGGCCCAGGGGGGATTTTTTTTTTCTTTTGCGCGCGGTTACAGTGTAGCGGGGGAGGGGCGGGAGGAAGTGCGGCTGCTACGTTGTAGCAGAAGGGCGGGGCCCGGGCGCCCCTTGGCGCGCCGGGACAATGCGGCCCTGCGGGCCGGCCGGGGGCGCGCGAGCCCGAGCCGAGCCCCGCCCCTGGCGCGCGGAATTCGCGCCTCGGCCCCGCCCACGCGCGGCGCCTCTTTGTTGGCTGCTCGGCGTGCGCGTGCGCCGCGGTCACGTGGCGGGGGGCGGGAGGTGGTCGACTGCTGCAGCAGCTCCTTTCTGCGTCTCCCTGGCTCTTTGTGCGCTGCGTGGAGGGGCGGTGCCCAGCGTGGGGGGGGGCGGGGAGGGGCTCTTAATCCAGTCTACTCTGCCGCCTCCATCCTCCCACCCCGGTTCCTGCTATCCCCGGGCACGCCCAGCCGCACATAATCTCATCCCAAGTAGTGGAAGCTGCGGGCTTTCCCGGGGTTGCGGTGTCTAGGCCAAGGGTGGGGCAGGCAGATAAGAGGGGATGCCGGGCCCTGGAACAAGACCTACCACAGGCGTGTCTGGAATTACAGTGGTTGCGAGGGGGCATAATTGGTTGGGACCTGAGCCATTGAGGGTTCATTGCTCTCCCCCGACAGTTCTGGGAGGTGATCAGTGATGAACATGGCATCGACCCCACCGGTACCTACCACGGGGACAGCGATCTGCAGCTGGACCGCATCTCCGTGTACTACAATGAAGCCACAGGTGAGGGCAGGAGCCCGGGAAGCTCGGGTCCCATCTCCTCTCCCACTTCTCTGGGGTTGCTCTTCATCCCTGGAGACCCCTTTACCCTTTTGGATGAATGCATCTTTTTGTTTTTGAGAACTTGATTTGATTTCCCACCATCTTGGTGAAAGACTGGCTCTGCTGCCACCTGGTGGCAGCGCCTGGAACCAGAAGTTTGGGCCCCGACTGTCTGCCAGCCCCGATTTATTTTTTTTTAACTTTTTTATTGAGGTGACGTTGGTTTATAACCCAGCCCCGATTTATTTACCTTATTCCTATCTGCCAGTTTTCACTCTTCTACTTTCTTCCCTTTAGGTGGCAAATATGTTCCTCGTGCTATCTTGGTGGATCTGGAACCCGGGACCATGGACTCTGTTCGCTCAGGTCCTTTTGGCCAGATCTTCAGACCGGACAACTTTGTTTTCGGTGAGTTATACGCATTAGTAGATACCGTCATATTCACTTTATTTGGGTGCAAGGAGACAGCAAGAGATTGGAGATGATTGTTGTATGGGAGAGCTTGTTCAGGGCTGTGTTCTGACATCTGTAATGGAGGGTGAAGTTAGGGACTGCCCTAGATGGTAATTATGGGGGGGATGTATCACAGGTGAGCAAGACAGAAGATACATCTAAGGGCATTATTCCAAAAGTTGGAAGGTGGAAATGCGGTCTTGCATCTTCCACACCTACTAATCAAGCTTGCCTCCTGACCCCATTCCAGGTCAGTCCGGGGCAGGCAACAACTGGGCCAAGGGCCACTATACAGAGGGGGCCGAGCTGGTTGACTCGGTCCTGGACGTGGTTCGGAAGGAGGCAGAGAGCTGTGACTGCCTGCAGGGCTTCCAGCTGACCCACTCACTGGGTGGGGGCACAGGCTCTGGAATGGGCACCTTGCTCATCAGCAAGATCCGAGAAGAGTATCCTGACCGCATCATGAACACCTTCAGTGTGGTGCCCTCACCCAAAGTGTCTGACACTGTGGTTGAGCCCTACAACGCCACCCTCTCCGTCCATCAGTTGGTAGAGAACACCGATGAGACCTACTGCATTGACAACGAGGCCCTTTATGACATCTGCTTCCGCACCCTCAAGCTGACCACACCAACCTACGGGGACCTGAACCATCTCGTCTCAGCCACCATGAGCGGAGTCACCACCTGCCTCCGCTTCCCTGGCCAGCTCAATGCTGACCTCCGCAAGCTGGCAGTCAACATGGTGCCCTTCCCACGTCTCCACTTCTTCATGCCTGGCTTTGCCCCTCTAACCAGCCGTGGAAGCCAGCAGTATCGGGCCCTCACTGTGCCCGAACTCACCCAGCAGGTCTTCGATGCCAAGAACATGATGGCTGCCTGTGATCCCCGCCATGGCCGGTACCTCACTGTCGCTGCTGTCTTCCGTGGGCGGATGTCCATGAAGGAGGTAGATGAGCAGATGCTCAACGTGCAAAACAAGAATAGCAGCTACTTCGTGGAATGGATCCCCAACAACGTCAAGACGGCTGTCTGCGACATCCCGCCCCGTGGCCTGAAGATGGCTGTCACCTTCATTGGCAACAGCACAGCCATCCAGGAGCTCTTCAAGCGCATCTCAGAGCAGTTCACTGCCATGTTCCGCCGGAAGGCCTTCCTCCACTGGTACACAGGTGAGGGCATGGACGAGATGGAGTTCACCGAGGCCGAGAGCAACATGAATGACCTCGTCTCCGAGTACCAGCAGTACCAGGATGCCACTGCAGAAGAGGAGGAGGATTTCGGTGAGGAAGCTGAAGAGGAGGCCTAAAGCAGAGCCCTATCACCTCAGGCTTCTCAGTTCCCTCGGCTGTCTTCCTCAACTGCCCCTTTCCTCTCCCTCAGAATTTGCGTTTTTCTGCCTCTATCTTTTTTCTTTGGGGGGGGTGGGTTCTAGAACAGTGCCTGGCACATAATAGGCGCTCAATAAATATTTGTTGTTTGTTGAATGTCTCCTCTCTCTTTCCACTCTGGGAAACCTAGGTTTCTGCCATTCTGGGTAACCCTGCATTTCCTTCCAGTGCCCACTTCTCCCATCTGTCCAGTTAATATGTCTCTCTCTCTTTTCAAGATAATTCTCCAAGAAGATGGGTCTCGTCCAGACCCCATTTAGAACCATGTGTTGAAAGCCCAGATGGATGGCCACCATCCTAAGCCCATGTGGTGGCCAAGGAGAAAGGAAACCAAGCTAACTGGCAGGCAGAAATCCCTGCAAGGAAGGGGTGGGAGTTTCCATTCTAGAGCAGTTTTGGAGAGGGGGATCCAGGCTGTTGCAGTCATAATTTCCAGATACTTCCTGCTCCTCTCTCAGCTTCGGGGGAGGAGTTAACAGTATTATCTCCATTTTCAGTCTCCCTCCAAGCCCTGTCCTAAGATGTTTCCTTTGCAGAGGTCTCCCCCTCTGCCAAGTGGGTTCCTCCCCTCTCCCACTTTAGCTCCTTCACATGATTGGAGAAGGGGAGACCAGCCTTGGTCCCTAGGCTTCCAGAAAGACCCTTCCCATCCCCACCTTTTATTACCCAAAAAAAGGAATACCCACCCTGCTGGATATGTATGGGAGGGTGTACTGCCACCTAAATGTGAGTCATTCCCCAGAGGAGAGGGGACAGGACACCATCTTTTAGCAACATCTCATCTCTTCCTTTTGCTATGGCCTTTTCCCTACCCTTGGTTTTGTTCTGTTCTACTCTTCCAATTTCTATTTTGTGTTGAACTTGCTGCTTTTTTTCATATTGAAAAGATGACATTGCCCCAAGAGCCAAAAATAAATGGGAATTGAAAAAAATATTGAGAGACGTGTGCTCATTTAGGGAAGGATTACCAGTGGAGGCAGGGGGCTCACATACTCGGCTTTCCATGAACTGAGAATATCCTAATACTTGACTGACCTTCATAGCTTAATCCCTGGTACCCAAATCACCAGCACCAGACTTCATACCTGGGATAGGCATAAACTCAGATGCAGCATGTAGGGATAGAGGTGGGACTGAGATGAATGTCAAGTAGTACAAAAGTGGTTCCCACACCAGATCAGCACCCCCTTGGAACTTGTACAAATGCAGATTCTCAGGCCTGCCCAGATGTACTGAACCAGAAACAGGTTGGACCCCAGCAGTCGCTCCAGAAGAATCTCATGAATGCAGTTGATGGCCGCTGTAACACCATTTCTTTTTTTTTAAAATTTTATTTATTTATTTATTTTCCCCCAAAGCCCCAGTAGATAGTTGTATGTCATAGTTGCACATTTTCTAGTTGCTGTATGTGGGACGCGGCCTCAGCGTGGCCGGAGAAGCAGTGTGTCTGTGCGCGCCCGGGATCCGAACCCGGGCCGCCTGCATCGGAGCGCACGCACTTAACCGCTAAGCCACGGGGCCGGCCCGTGTAACACCATTTCTAATGTACAGTGCACCCAGGGTTCCTTTGGGTTTTTTGTAGTCCTGTGGGTATAACTAGTAGGGGTGCCACATCATGTTCCCATTCTAAACTGACTGCTCCACCTAATACCTCCTGCTTCTAAGTGCACAAAAGAACAGTCTCAAAGCTACCCTGGAAACCTAACAGTCAATTTAATTTCCCTTGGCCATATTTTCATATTTTCACTAGGGACTAGTGCAATTCTCAACACTCCTTCAATTTCAGCATGCTTTTCTGACTAAAACCAACTTGGGAAAAAAGATACTATTTTTTTTTTTTTTTGATGAGGAAGATTGGCCCTGTGCTAACGTCTGTTGCCACCTTCCTTGTTTTTTTGCTGAGGAAGATTTGCCCTGAGCTAACATCTGTGCCCATCCTCTATTTTGTATATGGGATGCTGCCACAGCATGGCTTGAGCGGTGCGTAGGTCCACGCTGTGGACCTGAACCTGCCAACCCGGCACTGCCGAAGTGGAGTGTGCAAACTTAACCACTATGACACTGGGCTGGGCCCTCTACAACTCTTAACCATGTATAAGTATTTCCTTTCTCCCATTCTAAAAAGCCTATTAAATGCAATGGAGCAAGCTACATTCTAGCATTCATTTTGAATTAGTTCTGCTTTATTAAGTTAATTGTTCATGAGTATCAGTACTTATTAACAGCATTTTATTTGACAAGTAAAGCTGAGAACCTCCAGGCCATCCCTCAGTCTTGGTCAGGAAGGAATTCTGGACAACAGGCTCACGCAGTCTAATTAGGAAGTAAAAGTTAAATAAGTTTGGCATGGGAGGTGATAATCGGAAGGCTGGCATGGGAGCCCTGGGGCCTGGCATTCTTGGCAGTGTGGGATTGGGAGGGGGAGCAACCTTTCCCCCTCCAAGGCAAGGCACAGGCTATTTGGCAAGGAGAGATGAGGGGAGGAACCCCACTGTCAGGACATGCTCAGAGAAGCCAGCTGAAGTGCACGCAACATGGGGACCGTTTAGGCAACGTGAGCCATGAGGCTGAGCAGCGGCGAAGGTCGAGGGCTCAGGCTGTTCGCAAAGGCTTGTGGTTCACCTGGCAAAAAGACAACAGTGGATGACACTTGGGAACCAAGTACCTGCTCTCCCAGGCCCCCATTTGGATGAATGGGCTGCAGGGAGGACATGCACTTCTAGGAGTCTTCTCGTTTTTTCTGGCACCCCACCTCACTCCTTCGCCAAGCAGTCCTTAGGATCCATGTTTAACAATGAATTACTCAAAGAGGGTGGAGGGGCCGGAGCCCTGCTTGCACAGACCCTCCTTAGCTCCCAATCTTCCACTGCAGGCCTCAAGGAGGCTCCAAGGAACCCACCTGAAAGTCACTGATATAGCCCAATGCTTTTATTTATACATGTTTTTTTCTTTAACACACTCTTATATAGTACTTACTAAGTGCCAGGCCCTGTTCTAAACACTTTGCAAGTATCTACTCATTTAATCCCCTTAACAATTCAACAGGGTAGTTGCTATTATTCACCCGATTTTAAGGTGAGGAAACAGGTACAGAGAAGTTGGTAACTTGTCCAAGGTGACAGCTAGCATGCACTGGAGCCAGGATCCACACCAAACAGTCTGGTTCCACGGCCTGCTCTCTGACCACTACCATGATCTACAGGCACCAAGAAAAGCACTGATATGCCTTGGAATTAATTAATTGTCAACAGGCCGCAACCAGTTCGTTGTACTAGTAGGGTGACCATAAACACAGGCTCTAGAGACAGGTGGCCTGGGTTTGAAGACCAGCTTCACTGGCTGTGTGACATGGGCTAAGTTATTGAACATGTTGGAGTTCAGTTTCTTTACTTTGTAAACTACTACATACCCCAAGGGTAGTTTGATAAAAAAAAAACAAAAAAAAACACTTGTGTAGAAGCTTAGTACTGACTGGTACATAGAAAGCCATTAATAAATGTCACTGGCTCCCAGGCCTCCTGGGTGCTGGTCCCACTGTGTCACATGCCACAGGAACCCAGCAATTCTGCTCCACAGCCCCCACCCTAGAGACCCTCACCTGGGAGATGCTGATGCCTGTGAGTCTCTCCACACTCTCCGGCAGGCGGCTCAGGATGTCCAGAACTTCCCCGGTCACTTTGGCTGCCCCCATGGCTCCACTTCCACTGGACACCAGTGTGATCTTATTGGCTGAGGTCAAGGGACCACTGATCTCCTCTGCCACCTGGTAGGTGAGATGCCCACTCAGCACCTGTGGCCTGACCATACCCCTCCTAGAACGCCTTACCCTGGGTTTTAAGACCCTTGTCCTTCACTTTGGTGAGGATCATCCTTTCTCACTTTGGGCATTGGCTTATAATTCCTACTCCTAATTTAAGGTCCCCTAGCCTGGTTTTCCCCAAGCCCCTCATTTCCCCCCAGCCTCATTCCCTGGTTCTGTTCCTCCTCTCCTGGTACCCACACAACCCCCAGACCTGGGGCAGCTTCTCTAGCAGCATGTTCAGCTGAGCTGCCTCCTCATACAGCTGGAATGCTTCGGCCTTCTTGGACATTTGCTCGGCCTCGGCCCGGGCTCGGGCCCCTATGGCAAAGGCCTCAGCCTCCCCACGCATCTGAGAAGGGTGCAGGATATAGTTAGAGACAAGAAACCCCTGTTGTGGAGCAGCAACCCTCGCTCCCTCCACAAGCCAGTAAGAGCCACCTCCTAACTCACCCGCACAGACTCAGCTTCTGCCTCCGCCTGCATAATCAGCTGAGTCCTGGGCAAAGAAGGGAAGTGGAGGGAGGAGCTGAGGAGGGGCCCTTACTCCTGGGAGAAAGACAGGCCCTGAGCTGGAAAGACAGAGGCTTCTGCACCCTGAGTTCCATACAAGGAGTCCAGGTTGCGAAGGCCTCAGCTCTTCATCTGGGGATGCCCAGGTGGTGAAGGAGCCAGAAGAGGGCCAGGGAGGGGGCATTTACCTCTCTGCCTCGGCTAGGCGCTCCAGCTTGTAGCGCTCGGCTTCTGCTGGCTTCCGAACTCGGGCCTCCAGCTCCTTCTCTCTGCGGGCGATCTCCTGCTCCTGCACTGCCACCTGCTGGGCCCGCTCCACCACTTGCACCTGTACCCTCTGCTCCTCGATCTGCTGCTTAGTCTTGGCCACCTGGGTAGGAGGGATGCTCAGCATCAGAGCTAAAGAGCAAGTACCCAGGGCCAGGGCTCCAGGGTAGGATATAAAAACAGAGTAGGTACATGAAGTCGGTCCCCAGTGGGCTCGGCCAGCCCAGTTGAGTCCAGTTCCCATACAGGTCCAAGGCTTGGCCCGTGGGGTGGCCTGATCCTCCTTCTCAGAGCCAGTATCAAGGTTAGGGCATTCCCCAGGCAGACTCAGCGTCGGAGCTGGATAGGGCTGGGACCCAGTCCCTGTTCTTCCTCAGACCAGGTGAAGTGTCCCTCTGATGAGCTCCCATACTAGTCTATTTCTCCACCGTGTCTCCCTCTGGGGTATGAGCACCTAGAGGGCACTGAGCACATGGTGGCCATCTTCTCCCTGGAGTCTCGCTCAAATCCACCCACTCTCCATCCGTGCTGCTGTCACCTTAGTGCGAGCCACCGTCAACTCTAGCCCTGACTAACAATAGCCTCCTACTGACTTTCTTTTTTAGGGGGCCATGTGTGTGTCTTTTTCATTTTTGTCTTTTGTATATGGTACAAATTCAAAAGAAAAAAGTAAACAATGAGAAGTAAGGCTTCCTCCCACCTATTTCCTCAAACCACCTTGTTCCTTTCCCCGGAAGCAACCACTGTGACCAGCTTCTCGTGTGTTCTTCCAAGGACATTCTAAGCATCAACAAGAATGTGTATATATAGAATTCCCGTTATTTAGGCAGGTTTCATTTTCTTATTCCTTTGTAGAGTACAGGGATCAGAAGGCTCTTGCCAAGATGTTGGTGAGGAGAGGTACTGGGGAGGAACACACTTCTTTACTGTTTCATTGCTCTGGCTCAGCCACGTCCATCATCCCTGTGGGTCTCATCAATAAAGAGATGGCCCTGCCTTTACTGGGCCCATCTGTTCACTGCGGAGGAAGGGTGCTTCTAGACATGGCACCCTGGACTGTCTCTGACTCTAAAATTTCAAACCAGTTCCAAACTGGACTAGTTGCTCTCTGCCCCAGTGTGCAGGATCATATCTCTCTGCGTTGGTGCCCTCCCTCTCTCTTGTGTAGGACCTCTCGGTCAAACAACCTCCAGTAGCTTCCTCAGAAAGAGTATGTGGGCAACAAGTGTTCTGAGATCTTGCTTCCCTGAGATGTTTATTTAACCCTTCTATTTGAATGACTTAGGTTGAGCACAGGTTACTATGTTGGAATTCATTTTCCATCAGAATTTTGAAGGCATTCCTCCATAGTCTTCTAGCTTCTTGAGAAATCTGAAGACATTTTGATGCCTGACCCTTTGTATGAGATCTGTTCTTTCTCTCTGGAAGCTTTTACATTTACATCTTTTCTTTGTTCTCAGTGTTCTGAAATGTCACAGTGTAGATGTTCTTCATTCATTGTGTTGGGGACTTGCAGAATCGTTTCAATCTAGAAAGTGACATCCTTCAGACTAAACATTTTTGAGTTTTTTCATTGGTGATTTCTTCCCATTTGTTCTGTTGGATCTCCTGGACTGGTCTCTAATATTTGTATCTTTTCTAATTTTTCCATCTGTTCTGTTCTATTTTCTGGGAGATTTATTAGAATTTCTCTTTCAACATGATTTCTTCCCCCATTTCTGCCATCTTATTAATTTCTAAGAGACCTTTTTTGTTTTCTGTTCTATGTCTTGATTTCCTGTATGTCATTTCTTTTCTTATCTCACTGAGAGTATTAAATCTTTTTTTAAAGCTGTCTTCTCCCTGCATAGTATGGTTAAAATTAATAAAGGAAACCTCAACTAAAATTGGAGTCAGGAAGGCCTGTAGAGGGAGCTCTCATGCCCTACCACATCTGGTCAATTGCAGTGTCAGTTAATTACAGCCAGTTACAGACCCTAACAGGAAGAGCAGTAACAGTGCACTCCCAAACAGGAAGTGCACTTACTTTACTGCTCCAGCAGGAGGAAGATTTCCTTCTTGCCTAACAACAGGCACAGCCAATAGAAACACAGCAGCTCAGCAAATAAGCCATGATCACCTCAACTTGCTTTCCTCCAATGAACTTTCACGTTTTACTTGCTGATGATTTCCTGTCTCCCTCTCCTTTCTATAAAAGCCTTCCATGTTGTGTAACCCCTCTGAGTCTCTCTGCTTGCCAGATGAGATGCTGCCTGATTCATGAATCGTTTTTTTTTTTTTAAAGATTTTTTATTTATTCAGTTTTTTCCCCCCAAAGCCCCAGTAGATAGTTGTATGTCATAGGTTCACATCCTTCTAGTTGCTGTACGTGGGACTCGGCCTCACGTTGGACGGAGAAGTGGTGCCTCGGGGTGCTCCCGGGATCCGAACCCGGGCCGCCAGCATCAGAGCGCGCGCACTTAACCGCTAAGCCACGGAGCCGGCCCTCATGAATCGTTTAATAAAGCCAATTAGATCTTCAAATTTACTCAGTATAATTTTGTTTTTTTTAACAGTATGTGTCCTTCAAATTGCTTTGCTCTGTTTGTGGTTTTGGTCTCAGACTACCATGTTGCAGGATTCCCTCATGTATCAGGTAATCCTTGGTTGTCTGCTCACGGGTGAAGAAGGTCTAAAAGACTGAAAGGAAGCTCTGGGTATGTGGGTGAGGCTTGTTCACTTTTAGCTTCACTCTAGGATGATCTGGGCAGGCCACTTGCTGAGGAACCACTGATCTCTAAGTTTTTTCTTTTGGATTGGTCATGTTCCCCAGAGCAGTCTTCTGATCTCTTCTTTGGAAGACAGAGAGTCTGGGAGCCAAGTAGGGTGAGGGGGTTAGGGGAGTCTGCCAGCATTTAGCATTCAATAGGCATATGGTCACTTCATGCCCCTGCTACTGGTAAAGTACCAGCCCCTCACCTGTGACTGGCAGGCCCCAGGTCACATCCTCTGGTTTACTTTTGTCAGATAATAAACCTCCAGATGTCTGCTGGGGCAGAGAAGGGACCATTACCCAGAGGCAGGGAGCCAGAGAGGGGCTCTGAGAAGTCACTTTTCACCTGTTTCTCCTTATTTCAACAGCCTTCATCACAAATCCAGAGGCCCCTGGTGCTGCCAGCTCCTGAGCCTCAGATCATTTCACTGTTTTCTCCCTGTAGCTTTGCACTCAGCTGTCTCAGGCTTGCTTAGCCAATTATCATGGCTTTTCAGCTTTCAAAATGATGCCCTGATTTCTGTTCCTTCTGTTCATCTTTATCTTTTCTTTCTCTGTTTTTTTAAAATCACTCTGTGGTTTTAGTGAGGTTTTAAGAGGGAGTGCAATTAGCTGCATTTATTCAATCCATCATCTTTGAAAAAGCTTCTGATTCATCTCCCTGCTTCCTCTCTTCTCTTTTGATAATCAATTCTCCACACAGGCAGCCAGTCTCATCCTTGTAAAAATGTAAATTAGACCATAGTACCTCCCTGCTTAAAGTTCTACAATAGTTTTCCATTGTGCTTTGAATTCTCTTCTAAGTCTCCATCACGGCTACCAGAACTCTATATGAGCTGGCCCTGCCTACTTCTTCTCACTCACAGCACACCAGCCACACTAGATCAGAAACCTCCTTTCTGTTCCTGGGACATGCCAAGCTCTTTCCTACCCCAGGGCCTTAGCACGTGCTGGTCTCCCTGCTTAGCCACTAGCCACATATGGCTATATAAATTTAAATTAATTAAAATCGAATAAAATGTAAAATTCAGTTCCTCAGTCACACTAGCCACATTTCAAGTGCTCAACACCACAGCACAGATATAGAGCATTTCCATCATCACAGAAAGTTGTATTTGACCAGCACTGGCCTAGAATGCTCTTGGCCCACAACTCTAGACTGCTGGCTCTTTCTCATCTTTGGGTTTTATCTCAGCCTCACTGAAGCTTTCTCTGACCACCCTGGACCTAATATAGTACTCCCCCACTGCTTTTCACATCACCCTGCTTATTTCCCTCATCTCACTTAAACAAGATAATTAGAGCCTGTGAAGGTTATTTACTTGCCTATTAACTGTTTTCCGTGTTACAATGTAAACTCCATGAGGGCAGGAACATTTTTATCCATACTTATATCTTCACCTCCAAAACAATGTCTGGCACATAATAGGCACTTATTAGATATTTGCTGAATGAATCCTTATTTCCCCAGCACCTAGCACAGAGCCTAGCACAAAATGAGGAACTGATAAAAACTGAATGGAGCCCAAACCAGCCCAATCTGTTGATCTGCAGACAAGGAAAGCCACGTTTAGAAGGTTAAGGACCTTATCCTTAGATGGGTTAAGTCCCACCCAAGCTAGTGGTTATCACTATGTTAATGATTCTCAAACACAAATGTATACATGAATCACCTAGGGATTTTGTTTAAAGCCAGATTCTGATTCAGTCAATAGGGCTGGAGCCTGAGATTTTGTATTTTTAACAAGCTGCCCAGTGATGCTGATGCTGCTGGTAGGCGGTCCACACTTTGAATAGCAAAGCTCTATGCCACACGCAATTACCTGTATACCACCCAGGAATGAAATACCATAACTAAAGGTGTTTTGCACCTCATTATGCTTTCAGCCTGTATCAATTCTTGGAAAAAACAAATTTCATCATATTGCTATCCTTTGAGTAAAGGTCTCAAAGTACAGTTAATTCTCATTATTCATGGTGGTTCTGCTCCATAAACCATAAAGTAGCCATGAACACTGAATTCGCAAATACTTATTCTGTTCCTATTAGGTTCCTGTGAGCCACTGGCCCCAGCATTTTCACCAACAGATCAATGTATAACCTTGTTTTACATGTATTTCTGTTTAAAGACACCTTATGTGATATATATTGTTGATTCATTAACACTGACCTCACAGCCAACAGCACTATAACTCCTGCCTGAACAAAGCTTATCTAACACATGCCTTTTCTCCATAAGGCATACATCACAGCCTTCTTGCACTTAGGAACTCTAGACAGCACTTCAGCAGTAGGGTTGCAGGCCATTTTCCACCAAATCACCAACAAAGAGCACAAAAATGAGGCAGTAAATGTGTGAAAATGACACTGTTTACAGTATGAGAGCTGAAACAAGAAGGCCGAACATCTTGTTCAACCTCAGCTGGAAACTGCACATCAGGCAACTCAAAATTTTCATCACTCTGTGCTTGTCTGCAAATGACCACACAAGCGCTGTGAGTACTGACTTTGGGGTTACCCATCAATTTTAGCGAGTAGGCAAATTCTCAAATACAGAATCCACAGATAAGGAGGACCGACTGTACCTCCTTGTAGTATCAAAGGCTGCCCACATCTCACTTTGCAAGATTCAACACCCAAGTCCATGTTTTCCTTCCTCACACCCTTCTTTGATCACTAGGCTGCTGTGAGCTCGTGGAGTGCCCTGTGCAGTTTAGATAAAGGCGCCCCTTCCTCTGCGTGGCTGCAGACCCATAGACCCAGGACAGAATGCACAGCTTGGCGAGTGGAGCAAGGGCTGGATCTTAGCTCTGGTTCACCTCCATCCAGGTGCCCTTATACAACCTGCCCCAAACATATGATCAGCCCTACTGATCATATCCCTTCTCGGCCTTTTCTTTGCTTTTCAGCTGACACGTTTAGGTCCTTTAAATCTTCCTTATATGGATGATGTGGATTAGAAATGGAAAGCCAGAACAAGGGGATCCAAGTTAGAATATGAGAAAGAGGGAGGGCCTAAAAGGAATGGGGAAGGGGAAGAGACCAGCCTGGCCATCTGCCCATCTTGGTGGCTCTGACCTGAAGCTGATAGGCCAGGTCAGCCTGCGCCCGGCGGGCGTTGACCTCGATGTCATACGCGGCCTTCTTCAGCTCGTAGTCCCTCTGCGCCTTGGCCATCTCGATCTCACTCAGGTACTGAGCAGACACCTTTTCCTGCTTGGCTTGAGCCTCCTGTCCACACGGAGATCAGGTAGAAGTCAGAATGGGGAGAGGAAGGCCTCAGGGGGAGAACCTCCTCCCCGCCAGCTCCCCTGCCTTTGCCCCAGGCCTAGCCTCATCCAGGTCCTCTGCCAACCACTTCTACCAGCCCCTACTCAGTTGTGCCCCTTCCCTCCCCTCTTCCACCTGGTGCCCGATAAGCCCATGGTGTCCAAGTGACCCTCATCTCTCTCACCCGGATCCCAGCATCTCTCTTGGCCTCTGCTTCCCCAATCCGAGCATCCTTTTGGACTTGAGCTGTTCGAGCCTTCCCCAAGGAGTGCAAATAGTTCTGTGGGAGAGATGCAGAAATCAGAGCCCTCAGGAGGGTTTAAGAGATGGGAGCAGGGAAGCAGAGAGGATCAACTGCCTAGGTTTACCTGGTCATCGTGAATGTCCTTCAGGGTGTAGCTAACCACGCTGATGCCCATGTTGACCAGGTCTGAGGAGGCCACTTTGAAAACTTGCTCTGAGAATTTCTGCCTGTCCTTATAGATTTCCTAGGATAACAGGGTGGTGGGAAGGAGGAACTTAAGCCCTCAGATTCTCTGGCCACTGTCTCCCACAGACTAGCTTGGTCCTTAGACCTCTCCTCACTCTGGCATCCCTTCCAGATCTCTCCCTGCCCTCAGGCCCACCTCTACAGTCATGTGGGCCATGATAGCCCTCTGATGGCCCTCCAGTGTCTCCAGTGCAATGTGGGCAATCTCAGCCTCTGTCTTCCCCAGGAACATCTGGCAGGCGGCTGCCAACATCTCCTTGTTCTGCCCCTGGATTTTCACCTGTAACCAGAGTAGGGGTAGAGAGGGTGTGGTAGTGGTCTCTTGAAGCCAGGGAGGAAGCAGAGAGAGAACGGGGAGCCCTCTAAGAGAAGCTTCTTCATCCCAGGGAGAACAGGGAGGAGGAGTCAAGCGCCTTGGGGGTCCCCGGAAAAGGGGAGACTAGCAGAGAAATTTCCCTGCAGGCAGAGGTTGGGAAGGCCATGGTCAGAAGATTCTTAATGTGTGGGGACAGTGAAGGTGATGGAGAAGTGGACTTCGGGGGAAAGACTCTGAAAGCCTCACCTGGGCAATGCCAGTGACTGAGATGGGGACCCCATGGCGAGTGTAAACCTTTTCACTCTTGACATTGAGGGTCAGTGTGTTGAGAGAGATCCTAGGGGAAAAGTGGGGGGGGGGGTGCAGTGAGAAAAGGAGGAAAGAGAGAAAACTGGGGTCCCCTTCCCTGGTTCTCTTCTACCTACCTCTGGATTTTCTGGATGCAGGGCAGCACAAAGACACGACCTCCAGCCACCATGACTGGAGGGCTCCGGCAGAAACCTGCAAGGTAAGGGGGCAGTGAGCTGCGGTGGCCACGGCAGAGCTGGAATGTGGAAGACTGAAGAACTTGGAGGTGGACAAGCCTCACGAAAAAATCTGGGAGCTGGAGGTGGGCGGTCTGGGACTTGGAAGAATAGCGGCTGGGAATCACAAGGGGGTTGCTGGCAGCCATGGGGGACAGGGTGGGGCAGAAGGCTTGGAATGGGGAGCTGGTAGGGAGAGGGTGGAGGGGCACAGGCCAGACTCGGAGGGGTTTTGAGGTCACTCCCTGAGAAGAGAACAATGCTTACCGGAGACGACCATGGCCTCATTAGGGCCACAGGTGTGAAAAACCATGGCTCAGGTCGGAGCTGGAGCAGAGGGAGAGAAAGCCTTTGCGGAAAGCGAAGGGGCGCTGTGGAGTTCACAGGAGTGAGTCCTGTCCCTTCCCGTCAGTTCCGCCCAGTCTGCAGCCACCAAGGCCCAGTTCCTTCCGCACCCACGGTCCGCTGAGGCTCTTCCCGGCAAATCCCTCAGATCCCCAGCGACTCCCTCCCTTGGCTGCTCACGGCCACTCCTTTCCCTTTGCCGCGTCCTCGCCTTCAGTGAGGAGCGTTTCTCCCTTATCTGATAAGGCTCTCCCGCACCTAGGAGCCCCCAGACCTTGCGCCACCCTCCCTGCTCCTCTGCAGCCCGACTCCATCTCCTCTCCCCCACCTACCTTCCGGGACGCGGGCGGCGGCCGGGCCGGGGTCCCGAGAAGAGCGGGGGGGGGGGCGCGGGGGAACCGGGAGCCGAGCAAGGAGCACCTCGCGCACGGCCTTCCTGGAACCTGGGCCCGCGCTCGCGCCCCCCACCCGGCCGCACCCTGTTGCAGCAACAGACACAACCCCGCCCCCGCGAGGGACCACCCTCCACCCCTCGGCCCCGCGCGCTCGGCCCGCCCCTTTCCCGGCAGGCACCGCTCGGGTCCGCAGCCCGCCGTCCGCCCCGCCCACCGGGGCGGCCTCGCGAGCCGATCTTCCCGAGCCGGAAGCCCCGCCCAGGCCGCTCCGCGCTCCGCCCCCGGGCGCGGGACTTGACCTCCGTGGGTCACCCCAGGGAGATTGCCTCATCTCGGGTTTGCCTCGCGCTACCTGGGGAAACCACAGACTAGGCAACGAACGACTGCATCCGGTCACCGGATGCTGGGTTCCGTGACTCCGGGAAGAGGCGCTTCAGGGCCCGGGGCAGAGCACCTGCTGGGGACGTGGCCTCGCCACCCCCCCGCCCCCCGCGCCGGTCCCTGGCGCCAGAAGTGGGGAATTGTCGCTTGCAAAGACACACTCAAATGACTGCGGACAATAATCGAGTTTATTTGTGTTCACAGAACATACCGGGCGACCCCACAGCCGCCCCCTGACAGCTCACTGACCCGCGACCCCGCAGCCACCCCTTGGGGGCAACTTCGAAGGGCTCGAAGGCCAAAGACCGTATTCCCAACGGTCCGCCGAAGCCTCACACAGTAGACTCGCGGCGTTGAGATGCTGGAGGACGAAAAGGGCCAACCGTAAACCTGCGACCCACCACCGGCCTTGACTCTCAGCCCGGGGGCCCTCCCGGACCCGGGTCCTCTCCATTCCCTCTCCCTGCTTCCCTCATTTCTAGGCGCCCCGCCTCCACCAATCCCATAAAGCTCAATAAATACCGAGAGATCTGCACTTGCAGCAAGAGAGCGCATCTCGCTCCCTTGCATAAGTTAAAATAAATATTACATACACCCCTCCATCACCTAGGGGGGACATACATAAATACATATAAATATTAATGAGGAGCACTGAGAAATAAATTAACGCCGCTCTCCTTCTCCGCCCGGCCCAGCCCTGGCGTGTCGCGCTTGCCTCCTCCCAGGCGCGGGCTGGCGTCTCCGCTGTAGTGTTTGCTCTGAGTCTGAGTTGCCTCGGGACTCCCAGTTTGGGATACGCTCTCGCGCACCAGGTACACCTGGTGTTTCTTTAATTTTTCAGGTTCTTTTACAGGAGTGTGGGGAGTCACGGTTAAAAGGCGGCCGGGTGTTGCTGGAGAAACGTGCTGAGGTCTAGAGAGTAGTCCGAGGGCTCCGAGGTCACATTAAGGGGCTCGAGGACCGGGGACGCAGGGGTAGGCGCGGGGGCCGCGGCGCTGGGGGCGACCTCCGGGGCCAGAGGTGCCGGCACACCCTCTTCAGCCATCAGGATCTGGCAGAAGATGACGGTGAGCAGAAGAAAGAGGAGCCTTTTGGCAGGGTTCGGATCCTCAGCGGGCAGTTGGCGCCGGACCTGAGGGGAGGCAACAAAGGGAACAGGTCAGCTCAGGGCCCCGGCGTCCAGCCGTTCCCCCCCACTGTCCACTTCGACGACACTCACCACTCGCGGGTAGAGGACCCTGCGGCTGCGCTTTCGGTGCCCGCGGAAGGCGCTAGGGCGCTTGGCGGGGGCCGTGGCGGGCTCCGGGAGAGGGTCGAAGGTGAAGATCTCGGGACCGGAGCCCCGCCTGGGCCCCGGGCTGGTGGAAGGGACGGAGGTCGGGGATCGCAGGACGGTCATGGTGGGAAGGGAGCTGCGGGAGTGACACATTTTGTCCCGAGCGAAGCAGAAGACCGAGTGCGGAGCGGCAGCTGCGCCGAACTAGTTATACTCGCCAGAGAACTGGGCGGGCCCTTTTCGACTCCACCCGCGGCCCGGAGCGGTTGGCCGGAGCCGAAGCCGGCTGGAAATTCCGCGGATGAAGCAAAGGGAGGGGGTGGAGAGTTAGCCTGTGCAACCCTAGGCACCCAAGTGTGTATGGAGAGTTGTGAGTGGGGATGGGCGAAATGCCGGGCTGCAGGCACATGTTGGGACATGTAGCAGCTGGAGAGGGTCCCACAGAGAGTTTAGGAGATGGTTCAGCCACAGGCCGCATCTCTGGGGAGGCAGGAGGGCTTACATAAGAAGTCTGGCCATCCCAAACTGCTGGCCACAATACTGACCCAGCAAGTCAGGGAACCACAGTTACACACGCACATTCACACACTTGTAAATACACATAGAAAACACACACCCGACGAGGGAAGTCAGTAAGAAATAGCCAAGAAGAGGAAGAGAAATGAACACACTAGAACACACAGACACAACCCTGCCTGCCTTAGCGGGCACACACACACACACAAACACACACCCACATTGTTGAGGCGGAAACATTTTTCCTTCTTTTTTTCCTTCTAGGTTCTTTGGTTGGTCTAATAATTAAATTGACATAAGAAATTAACAGGAGAAAAACAAATTTGCGTACCTACGGGAGCCTACCAAGACAGGAGACTCAAAGGCAGTCAAGCAATTGAGGCTTATATGCCATCCTGAGCTAAGAAATGGGATAGGGGCCTGGGGCTTTGAAGGGGAGGGGGGCAATTCACAGGAAGATAAGGAGAGCAGGTGTTTGGTAATCAGATGCTGGCCCTACCATGCAGGTAAGTCTTTCAGATAAAAAAGTTATCTCTGGTAATAGCTCTCTTTTCTGGGCCAGGCCCCCTATCTAAATTCTTTTAGGCAGTTAAGGGAGAAGTAAAAAGTTTTTCCTGAGTCTGCTGGGTCTTGATTGCCTCCAGCTCAAAATAATCCACATGCCGAAGTGGCACATTTTAGGGTGGCATGTTCTGATCCCCTTCAACATGCACATAACACACACACACACACACACGCACAGGGCAAAAGTGCAGAGACTGCACAGGGACAACCCAGCAAAGCTACCCACTTAGATATGTACAGAAATGTTGACACAGAGCTGGTGCAGAGGACCACAAAACACAAAGGCAAGCGCCACCCAGATTTGCCCCTTGTTGTATGGATCAAGTAATAAAATGTGCATGAAGAACATTTTAAACTGAGAGGTTACGCAGATGTTGTGGTAACGGTAATAACTCAGCTCAAGACAGAATGAACACATTTTCATAACTGCCTTAGAGACAGCTGCTCATGGACACAGATTTTAACATCTTTTGAGCATTTCTGGGGGCCAGGCATCCTGTTAAAGCCACTGTTTAGAGTACTGAGGTTGGTTTCAGCGTGTGTGCTGCTGAGTGGGGCCAGCCAGAGACAGCGGGCACCTCAGCCTTGCGGACCTTACTCTCTGGCAGAGGGAGGGGACTCTGACCAGGAGAACTCCCTGGAGGGTCCTAAGAAAATAGAAGACTAAGTATAAGGGGGACCCAAAAGAGCTAGTGTTCTAATCAATCAGGCGAGGCTTTGTGGAAGAGCAGCATTTGAGATGACCTTGCACAGTGGGCGGCATCATGGAGTCAGATGGGGAAGATGACTGTGAGAAAGAGAATGGAATCAGCAAAGGCCTTGAGCTGGAAAAGTACAGGATGTGTTTGGGGGAATCACAAGAAAAACAGTCCCAGAGTGAGTTTCCCGTAAAGGAGAAGTGGGAAGTAATGATGGCTGGAAGGAGCTGGGCAGAGTGGGGAGAGCTTAGCTGCCAGGCCAGGAGACTGGGTTTGACTCTAGACTGTGGAGTGTGTGGGTCACAGGATGACATAAAAGGAAGGCAGTTCAAGGTGGGAAGTGAGTGGGATGAGGAGTATGCCCTGGATGGGGAGACACTGAGGCAAGGACAGGAGGCTATTGGAGAGGTTCAGGTAGAAAGAAACAGGGGCCTGAAATGAGCCATGGCAGAGGGAACCAAGAGGAGGGGTGGCTATAAGAGACCTTCCTAGCATAAGATCACCAGAATTTAGCAATAAGATGGGTATCATTGGAGTCAGGGAGCATGGAGAGTGGGGGTGCTGACAGCAAGACGATGAGAGGATCAAAGCTGACTCCTGGGATTCGAAATACATCTGGCTCAGATCTTTACACCAGATCATATCATGCCTGGTGCACATGGCAAGCATATGTATGACCTTTTCCATTAGAGGCTGTGTCACACATATCTTTGTGTCCTCCATAGAACCCATTATTAAGAATCTTGATAAATGAAAGATGAAAATGCAGAACTATAAATGCACATATAATATTCACACACTGGCTGGGTCACCACAAGCTTTTGAGACATGGACACACTCCTTCAAACTCCATATACAATTTACAACATCTTAAGAAAAGCTGTGATAATCCTTATACAGACACCAAATGAGGAATACTTAAGGGCATTTCTCAACCTAGGATATGTGGGGAGGCAAAGGGGACAGCCCCACAATTGGAGATACATAATTACTGTATATACAATTGCTTCCTGGGTCTACGTGTCACTTTATTTTACACCCACTACTCCTGTCTAAACACACGAGGCCCCTTGAGCATTACACACTTCTTCCTGACAGGCATAAAACCCACCTCCTCTACAAACAAAGACACATCCCTTTCCCATGCCTACCATCATCTTTACATTTATAAAACCCAAGCACAGTGAGCCTGCACCCCCACCTACACCCTTCTTCTAAGACAAGTGGCACACTACACAATGATCAACATAAATACATGACTACTTATAAGTGTGGACAGGCTCACATGATCACAGAGACATAAATTGGGAGTGAGGCGAGATGGTGATGATAGAAGAAAACTGGCTGGTGGGAGAGAGGGGGAGGCATCCAAGGTCAGGAATGCATAACTTGTTTATGATGGAAAATTTCTCCAGGGCATTAGGCAGGGGAGGGGAAATGAAGGGAAGATGTCAGGATCTTTGTTTCACTCTACCTCCCACATCTGGAATCCAGGCCTCCAGCTGGGCCTGGTTATCCTCACCGTCCTCCTGGCACAGAGAGATCTTTCTTTATGGCAAGACCAAAATGGGACAAAGAGAAGAAGCGGAGAACCCGGATGGCTGGCCATTCCTTCTCAACCAATCCCATCCCCATTCCTGCTACCTTCAGAGAGCCAGGGCTCTGCCCCGCCCCCTCCTGCCACACAGGAAGCTGGAGAAAGGTTGAAAGTGAATTATTAAGCCATGAGGGGATGCGGGGTTGAGGGCTGGGGGACGATTTAAGACCAGAAAGGACCAGGGGCTGAGACCAGCAGCTGTACCGGTTCTCACTGCCCCAATCCTACGGGAACAGGCCCTTAGCCTCTTCCACTTCCAGCTTTCCTCATTTCCTCCCCATCTTCCCAAGATCACCGTGTGCCTTCATTCTCCTCATTTCTTGACCTCCCATAACCTCTTTCTTAGCCCGTTGTTTATTTTCTTCGTAACACTCACCACAGTGGGGAATCATTTTATGGATTTGTTTACTTTTTGTTGTTGTCTGTCTCTCCCACGGGAATATAATCTCCTGGAGTATACAAGACCACATCCGCCCTTCCCTCATGATAGCTCTGTGGGATCTCCAGGACTTGGCCTTTCACCTAGTAGGGGCTTAATCAGTATTCTTAAATCTGTCTCCACTGAGGTGTCTGTATGGCTGTGTCCCTTCCGAGGCCCCCACGCTTCATCTGCAAAGAGGAGTTTGGGAGATGCTCCACTGAGGCTCAGGGGGACCTGCCATTGGATCAGGACTAACTGTGCAGGTGACACATGGCAAAGCCCTCACCCTTCATAAGTCCCTGACATAAGAGTGAGTCACACCTGCTGCTCCACCTGGAGTACTGCTGCATGGCTGACCACAGGCTTGGCTAGGGGACAAAGATAATGGGAAGGGGGCAGAATGGGCAGGGGAGATGGAGACAGATATTTGGAAGTGGGAGCTTCTGAGAGAGGGAAGCAGGGATACAGGGATGCAGCCAGGGGACTCAGGGAATGAAAACTGGATGCTCTGAGCTGGACCTGGAGGTTAGTAGATGTGGAACAACTATTTGTCCACTTGAGAGGAGTTTGAGACAGAGAGGAAACATGGGGTAGCAAAAAGAGCATATTATCATCTAGTGGTGTTAGAGGAAACTGAGTTTAAATTCCAGCTCTGCTGCTTATGGGCCAGCTACTTAACTTCTCTGAAAATGTTTCCTCAATTGAAAAGTGGGCAACTTGGCTGTCAGGTTATTGCAGGGATTAAGGATATGACTACACTGCTCCTAGGCACACAGTAGGTGCTTCTGCTGTGGTGGCCATTATTATGGCTATGGGAAGAGGGCTACTTTGAAGCAGATGTGGGCAGCCATGAGCTAACCCAGGAGTAGGAGACCAGGATGAGAAAATAGCCTGCAAGTGCTAAGATCATCAAAGATACAATTTCTCTTTTTCTTTTCATCCCCCCTTCCCTCCCTCTCCATCTCAGGCAGGTTTTGTGGCTTTTTCTTTTCTCCAGAGAAGCAGTCTTCTGCGTTCCTAGTTCTTGTTCAGCCAATGCAAGTGATTTTAAACACCCTTCCCCTGGCCCCCCTACACACACATTCTAGCTGGAACAAACCTCGCCAGAGGGGTGGAAATATGGTGGGGTGGTGTGTTCTTGGCAGCAAGTTAATAAATGACCCCCAAAGACCTTCATTTGGGTCTTAGGAGGGTCAAGATCAGGCCCTAGCAGTTTTCCCTGACGCAAAAGGACGGCAAGAGTGCCCAGAGTGCCAAGGCAAGGTCACAGAAGAAGGTGGTGTCTCCTGCCCTGGGATGCAGCTCAGCCCTGCCCAGCCCGGCCCAGCCCAGTCCAACTCAGCCAAACTTCCCTGGAGGCTGCTGGGAGTGGGGAGCTGGGAAAAGGACCCAGCA